TTTTTTTTAATTTTAATCCAATTATAAAAATGCTTTAGACTATCTTATAATATACTATCCATGCCACGCCCAAAAACAACGACTTTGCCTTACATTGAACTTTTGAACTTCTGAATTCCCTAATTTGATTGGCTTTCGGTTTTAGCTTCTTACACATACGTCCATTTATTCTGGGTTTTCAAACATCTCTTCGATCATTCATCAACAAAATAGAGAAAAGTTACGAAAAGAATTCAAATTGAGCAAATTTTTTTCACTTCGTTCGGATTGTCAAGGAACTTGGTGGAGTCACTGGCCGAGGGGAAGGGATGGTAGGGGTAGTTGGGGGCCAGTTAAATTGTAGAATGTCAGATGGTAAAGCTCATAGAGCTATGCCCCAGGGCTTAGCCTGATCTTGTCCTTATTTCTCTCTCACTCTCTCCCTCATGCACCTCAGAAAAAGAAAACGTAATAAGAAAACTCCTTATTTTCACGCACCCACACGGAAAACTTTGTTGCAATTCGATTCGACCTTAAGTATTATAATCTAGTCAAAATACCTAACGCATCGTCAAGCTATATGTATATCCAATATATGAATCGTAAGGTTAGCAAACAGAGTCGATTTTAGTCTAATTGGTAAAAAGGCAGAAAATAAAAAATTAATAAATAATATATGAATTTTAGCGTACAATTTTTAACAATAAAATATATATTAAAAAAATTAAAAAGAAATTATAAAACAAAAACTGTTAACAGTCGCGCAATTTTTCAGAAATAGTTGGGCATTACGTATAAAAAAAAAAAAAAAAAAAAAACTTACAACAAATTATACAATTAATTAACAGTTAAGTTAATGTTTATTTAAACGTAAACATATTAAAAGAAAAAAATCAAAAGAGAAACAAAACAAAAACAAAAATTGCATAAATAAATGTTGATAAAAATAAAACGAATATAAAATGTATTTGATGTGGTCTACTAGGGACTGCTCGACTTGGAGAGCACAAGGATTATCCAATACCCAATACTCATCGGGGATCTTAGCTACTTTTGTCACAGGCTCGATTTATTTCGATAACTCCCATCAGACTCAGTCACAAACTGTGAGTTGTTCCCATCACATTTTTCAGCCTGAAATCGAAATTTAGATGTTTACGGCGTAACTAAACAGCAGCATGGGCCGCAAGTCTGATCCTGCTCAGGGTCGAGTACTTGACGAAAATTTCGAGTGTCTGATGCGTGTGGCTAATTGCATTGGGGAGGACTTGGCGCGGCCGAAGGATCGCGAGATTTGCTTCCAAACCCTTGAAGATCTGTCCAAATTCAATAGAAGCAGCTCGACCGTCACCAAGCGTCATGTGCGCAAGTTTCTCGCTTTCTACTTGCAGGTGCTGCGCTGGACCCAGGTCCATCAGCCCCTGGGACTATACGAGAAATGGGTAAGTAGACAGATAGAGATACAGAGAAAGAGAGTTGACAACTTCGGCCCTCTCGTATTCCAGTACAACACACAATCCAAATCGGATAAGGGCAACCAGCAGTCGGACGAAATGCATGTTTGGCTAGAGCACGGAGTCTCCTACCTGGCCATGAAGCACTTTGAGGATGGCTCCACCATTGTCTACTCAGCAGTTTCCAGGGACCCCAGCAACGGCTGGGCAGAGGGCGGACTCAAGACATTAGTCTCTGGGGGAAACACCGCAGAGACGTCAACTACAGAAGTTAGATAACTGTATATACGTTTAGTTTCGGCACTCTAAATCTGACTGATAAATAAATCAAAATATAAATATATAAACCTTACATACATTTCTCTTTGTCAAATATGAGATTTCTCTCTTCATTTCTCGAGATTCGGTGTACAACTGTGGTGGCTTAAAGTTAAATACAAAATGTGGACGGAATGTGTAGCAGAGTGTATACAATTTGCTTAAACTAAGTGTGATGGGAGCTTCCAAGTAGCTAATGAAGGCACTTCGTGGAGGCAGCTGGACTAGCTGCCTAGCTGCGCATGAATGCTCCAGCGGCTGCCATCAGGGCAAAGCCCAGCAGCAGCTGCAGAGACTTGTGCATGGTTACGAGGCTGGCGCCGTTGCAGCTGTCGCTGGAGCAATAGCACTCCTCCCAGTAGACGCCGTTCTCGTAGACGCCCCAATTGCAGACGCCTGTGACACCTGTGTCCGATACCGAGGCACAGCGACGTATTACTTGTCGCCAGCGGCCATCCCCTAGTGGAACACAAAGCAGATATAACAAATGGGAGCAACAATTGATCTGCAACTACTCACAGATGAAGCCTCGGGGTCCCTGCTGGATCACCTTCATGCAGAAGGAGCCTGGCATGTGGGACTCATCGCTGTTGCACTCAATGGCAATGTGCTCCGTGCGATTAAACGCTTTGTAGGCGCCGCAGCTGTCGTACCCCTTGCGATCTTGGTCCGATGAGCACTGGTAGCAGCGTATGGCGAAGCTCCCTAAACAAGTGAGTAATACCACAAGCAAATTTCAATTAGTTAATGCTGACAGACCACACCCAACATTGGACAATTAGCTAAGTAGACAATATAGCCTAATTAGCTATACGAAACAACTTACCGCACACGTTTAGTGTGAGCACCAACAGGGCGCAGCGTGTTAATGTCAGCATCATATAGCGTTCTTGTTATTTGTGCGTGTAAAAAGATTAAAAACTAAATTTACTTAAACAAAACAAGATGCTATGAGTGGAATGTGACCGTAAATAACGTTGACATTCTGTGTGAATGCCAAAGAATTGTGGCGGCGGGTCGATTGACAAAAGTGCTGGCCATTTGCAGTGTTGGCTGCTGTAATGAGCGTGGCGCGGATTTTAAAACATTTGAATCAATGCAATAATAAATTATTGTAAGTAGAATTAATGAGTATTTTACACTTCACCATATTTGTTACATGTAAATGCATACAGTTTTAACTTTTAAGAGCGCAAAAATGGCAATAATTTAATTATTTATAAACATAATAGTATGCAATGTGACCGTATGAAATGTTAATTTTTGTAGGTGGCCATGTGCAGTGTTGGTGAGCAACGTAAATAAGTTTGGCGCGCGCTTTGCAAATGTTTAATTATGCGCGATACAAAAACAAAATTTCGAAATTGAATATTTTATGAATACACTCAACAATGAAAAGAAATAAATAAGTATACATTTAGGTTACTTGTTGCAAATAGTTGTCCATTTTTTATTTGTTCTCATACACATCATTCTCATGTACAACATTGCGATATGTAACTATTTATGTTATGAAACAACTGCGTAATTTACACATAATATATAATATAGATAATATTTAAATTGTTTGTTTACGATTAACAGCAACCACCTAGTAGGAGTATTTAAATATAAACTAATGCTTATTTATTTAGATATAACTGTATATTTATGTATTTACAATTGGGGAAGGGGGAGCTTTAGAATATATATATGTATACATATATAGTTGAAGCGCAGCCACAATTTACAATTAGAATAAATAAATAAAATACTATTATTTGATGTAYACATAAATTAAACATTTGCTTTTTCTTTTTTTGTTTGCAATTTGGCTAATGAGAGTTGTAACATCTAGATACGCCTAAGTGAGGGAGGGGAGGGGCTATATATTCGTAAAATACATATATATACAAAAAGTGTTAAAAATATACAAAAATCATATAAAATACTTTAACAAATGCATTCGCATTACTAAAATACTTCTTATTTGGGAAACAAATGCGCAGCGAGTTGTGGATCGGGCACGCCAATATTTGGGATATATACGTATGTATAGATAGATATATATATAATACCAGACATGCCTATTCTATGTATATATAGGAGAGGATCATTCAGTTTGTTTAGTTAATACTTATGTTTAGTTTACAAAGGCTATTTGCATTAACTATTTATATCATATTTTGATTCTGCATATTTTAGTTTTGTTTTCTTTTGGAGTTGGCGATGCACTGAGATTGTCACGAATTCTGTGTTTGGCTTTGCTTCTCTCATTTCGCTCATCGCTCGTGTGCATCAGGCGCTGCGCCTGCTGGGCTGATAACAGTTCAAACTGGCCGAGAGCCGAGCGAGCGCATGGAACAGGCGATTCGGCAGACGCATCAACTGCCGCTGCTGCTGCTGTTGCGGCTGTCGCAGCTGCGCCAGCACCTCGGCATGCTGCACATAGGAGACCCGTATGTTGACCGCCTCGTCGTCGTCGCCGTCGCTGCCGCTGCTGTCAACGTCTTCGTAGTAGGAGAAGCCCGCCGGCGGCAACTCGACAACAGGTGGCGCCACCGCCAGCGCTGCCGTGGACTATATGTTGGCGTAATACGGCGCCGGCGTGTGCGCGTCGCAAGGCTTGACGCGCAGCTTCTGCTTGTAGTGGTACTCCTTGAGATAGCTCTTGAGACGCCCGGGCAGCTCCAGCTGATTGATGCCGTCGTAGGTGGTATTCGAGACGATGGTGGCACGCGCCAGCTCCTGCAGCGAGAACGTCTGGCGGCGGTGCAGCGGCATGGTCAGGCAGGGCTCAAAGAACATGACGCACGACGGGTCCTTGTAGTGCTCCAGCAAGCCGGTCACCGTTTGATCAGCAAACACGCAAGGATCATGGCAATCGAAGCTGCAACGACAACAGAAATTACAAAATTAGTTCAAAGTTTAGCATGAATTTAATTAAATTTAAATGAATGAAGCTGTGCTTAAGCAATTTAGCTGGAAATGCTATCTGACGTTTTAAGCGTTTTTAGCCTGAAACCCCATTTAGCTGGAATCTCTTTTTATAGCAATTAATTTAGCATGAATAAATATGTACTTTTAGTGCTGCGCGTTAAATGTCGTCGGATCTAGTTCATGTGAATTCTCACGGCACAATAAGACAAGTCATCGCTAGACACCTTTTTGGAGCTACGTGGAGCTCATTAATGTGCTTGATGATTAATTTTGTATTATCGATAACACACGACAGCACAACTCACAACTCTAACATGGAAGGGGCACGAGCTCTCACTTTCCAATATACGGCATTCCACTGTTAGCTACATGTAAATATGTATGTGTGTACACCTACATGTGTACATAGACATTCACGTATCTCTACATGCATATATGTATGTATTTATGTCTCTGTTTATATGCATCGACTCACCTAAATTTGTGGCCACTTTGCTCGATGCGCGCATGCAGCGAACGTCCGTACTTGCGGAATGTAACGGAGAAGAGGAACTCCTCCTGCGCAGAGTCACGCAACAGGAACGTGCCCTCCGGCTTGCCCTCGAGCAGGCGCTCCGCCTCGTAGCGGTCCATCTTGCCCCAGTAGAAGCTGCTGTTGATGATCCGCTCCAGATCCGGGACCAGACAGTGCATGAAGTCTATCTGCGAATGCACCGTTACGCCGGCACCGTACGCATTCACCGTGGGCGGGCAGGTCTGTTCGATGGCGAGGGGCAGCAGAGCTGCCGTCCCAGCAGCAGGCGCTGCTCCCTCTGCGGTAACCAGGCGTATATTGTGACCCATGGCGGCGACCATGGGCAGCGTGTTGCGATTATTTTGGCTGGGCGCAGCGGGCTCCACGACGAACTGCGGCATCGGCTGCGAGCTGATGCGTATGATGACGTCGCCAATGCCATTCGGAGGCGCTGCCCAAATGGCCAATTGGCTTGGCTCCGCAATAGCCACTGAGTTGCGCTGAATTCGCTGCAATTGCGATGCCGCTGCTGCTGCGGCTGCTGCGCTGCCACTGCTGCTGCTTAGCGTCGGCGGCGTTGAACGTCTGTCGGCGCTGCTGCGCGTTTTATTCCTAGGTGCTGCGGCTGCTTCCTTTTTATCCTTGCTGGCCTGAGCGCTGCTCGAGCTGGACTCCAGTATGCCGCGTATTCCACGCAACGCATCCCGACATTTGCACTTGCAGCAGCGTCGCTGCTTCGATGTGGCTGCGGCTGCGGCTGCTGCAGCAGCTGAATTCGCTGAGAAGGCTTTGCTGCTGCGACTGCGACAGCAGCTGTTGCCCCCACCGCTGCTGCTACTGCTAGTGCTAGCTGCTGCCGAAGAAAGAGAGCGAGAGAAATAAAGACGAAAATAAATAACTGTATATTTGTGAATGAATTCGCTCTGGAGCTCACCTTGCGCACGTTGTTGTCCGCTCGACAGCATTTCGCTAACTGGCTGCGGCTCGAGCACCTCACAATACTCGACGCCTTCGCCGCTGCTGCGACGTAGCAGCGACGATAATGCCACTTCCAATTCGCCTTCTTCGCCGGCGACGTCGTTGCCGACGACGTCATCATCGTGCAATTGTAACATTCTCACCGAAGTCGGCGCCGACGCCGACGCCGACGCCAACGCTGACGTAGAGGCCGACACCGACGCAGTGCTTCCCGCTAAATTGTTATTATTCACAATTTGTCTTTCGCTTGGTTTTTTCGGTGCTTCCGTTGAAGAACTGCCCGCAGTTCGACTCGCACCTGCGCCCATTCGCTGCTCATTTGCATTGGCTGCGTCGTCCGCAGCAGACGCAGCGGCGCCCTCTGCCAACGGCAATTGCTCGCGCTCCCCCTCTCCCCCTCCCACTACCACGAGCGCCTCCTCCTGCTGATTGCCATTCTCCATTTTAGCCAATTGTATTTTAATTATAATTTGTCGCACCTCAGCTAACGCCTCGTCGGCGGCTGCTGCTGCTGCTGCTGCCGTTGTCGCTGTTGTTGTTGTATTCGTGCCGCCAGCTTCGACAATTTCGTCCAATTCTTCGTGCTGCTCCGAATTCGCTTCGCTAACGGGTTTTCTATGAATTTTGCTTCTGCTGCTGCTGCTGCTGTCAACGTCTGCTGTTCGCTTGCTCAATTGAAGACCCATTGGAAGCCGCTGTCTTCTGCTCTCTTCCAGTTCCGGCTACGTTCAACTGTGAATGAATGGAAAAAAAAGATATTCACAATTAATTTGGCTGTTTATTTATTAATTCGCATATTAGGGCTACACTCCTCTTAAAGGGGTGACCATATGTTTATCTTATTTATTCCATATTTTGGCATTTAGGCGCCTGCAGGCGCTGCCACCCTTTCTATTTGTTCCACTATTTGTCATATTTCCTGGGATTTCAAGGCGTTGCCACCGTAATATTCCCATTAATCACTCGCATTGTTTCCACTAGCTGCATTTCGGTGCGAAACGGATGTGAGCTATTTAAAATTGATTTGAAAGTCAAAATTTACCGCAAGTTTTTGCGTTCAGTGAATACATGACTGAGTAATAGAAATTCCACTCTATTTACAGTTAAGTTTTCTAAATCATTTTCTCACAGCAATGCATTCAAGTGTCACACAGAGTCAGACGCTTAACCGAGTGTGAAATGTCTTGACCTACGGCAACAAAACAGTCGACAGGCCCCCCTCTTAGCCCCACCACCTCCTCTCCCTTGATCTTCCAGTCTCGCTGACTTAATTAGAGTTGAAGTTGGAGCATTCATCAAGCAATTAAATGATAGATGGTAGAAGCACCCCCCACACACACGCACACACACAGTCACAGCTGTTGGCTGCCAAGTGGCCGACGCTCCCCCACACGAGCTGACTCACACATTGCTCAAGGAATGGCCCATTGAAATAAACAATGGAGCGCATACCAATCCCACGCATCGCGCCTGTCGACAGCATCTTTGCGAGAGCGTAACGTAACGCGAAATAACGTAATGATTGATGCTATATTTAGACAAGGCAACGGAGTAAACGCAGAGGAGAATCTGGCTAAATTCTAGCCGAATATGATGGAACAAGTGAAAATGTTTATATTTATGTGTATTTACTCACTCGCTTAACTGGAAAGATTTAGCAGTTATGCATTGTGAATATGATGGAGCAAGTGAAAATGCTTTAGATTCGTCTATTCACTAGTTCAGCTCAAAGTAGGTCTCAGTGGTTCATTTGAATAAAGCGCTCCATTGATGCGCCCAACTTCTTTTGTATATCAAATTTTTGTTAATTTCACAAATCATTGAAATGTTCAGAGAAACAAGAAGAAGCACGAAAAAACCCTGCACACACGAGTCACATTCAAGTTTACACTGTAAAATGTCGTTCATTCAGCGGAATCGCGCTTACGAGATTCATTTATTGATAAGGCGACTCGTATAAACGATTTGCAATTTATCTGAAGCGAAACTACGCTCTGGCATGTGTGTGTGTCTGTATGTGTCTGAGTGATTCGCAGTGTGACTCGGAATCCTTATCGCTGCAATTGAAATACGTTAGCAAATGCGTCATCCAATTCAAGGGCAGACCGTGACAGACTTCGCTCTAATGAGTCACTTTCTAGGCCAATGTACTCCACTCCAACGACAAAACTACAACAAAACGTGAAAAAGAACAGCTGGCAGCATTGACAAAAAAAAGCGTTGTCATTCTTTGGGTATTTCATGAAGCATTAGATCACCGATCAGGCGACTTTCTATTATCATCCCAATATAATATAATAGTCATTTCAACATATAAATTTTATATTCAAATTGGCAAGTCGCTTGTTCTATGTTTAAATATTTAATGCATTTTCAGCAGAATCACAAGAATATCATCCTAATTAATGCTCAACTTACTTTATTATATACCAAGTATATAATAGGTAATGTAATTATCTTCTGCAGAATCAGAAATCGCAGTTCACTAATTCCGACATTTATCTAATTGGCGTTTCAGTAGAAACACAAATATAATTTTCTCAGCGCTAATTGGCAATCAGTGAACTTAACCAATCGCCGCGCAGTTATGGCTATATATACATATGTACATCTATATGTACTTGAAACACCATAAATTTCTGGGAAATTTCAAAACGTCGATTGGAAACGCTTTCAAATTTCGCTCGTTAAACAATTAACAATGCGAGAAGGTCGAGGGAGACGGAGACACGGCGGAGAGTATTTAATGGCAAAGCTAAAGTTGGCTGGAAAACCATTTGAGGCATTTCGTACTTCCCGGAAATGCTATAGACAGCCAAAATGCGAAATAAAAAACTCGATATGGCAACGTTTGATTTGTGTTTAGTTAGAATTTCTATATTTTAATTGGCTTTCCTCTCGATACTATACAGTTAGCTAACTAATTGCCATGCAGCGCCATCTATCGGCATCAGCGACAGCAACAGCAACAGCACGTGCTGCATTTCGACCTTACTCAATGCGAATGAATCAATTCATTATGACACAGCTCATTCTGATTCGCTAATTTTAAACACAAAGTCCCAGAACAAAATGAATTATAGCAATATACATATATTATATGGCAGAATGTATATGTGCACATATGTATGTATATATATTATTTACGATAATGATGAAATCCAGAGAACCCGCATGACATGACGAGCGCTGAGCGAACAACTTTCAATGGAAACCCACAGAAGTTGAAGCATACCAGATAAAACCGCATAGCGCGCTCTAAAAAGCTAAACACACACACACACACATGCATGTTAGTAGGTAGGTAGTTTAGCCATTGGAGCATGAGTCACAGGAGCGGTTGCGCTGCAGCCTGCTTGGCGGTTCGAGAGGGCCCGCGCTTTCGTACCTTCTTTCTTCACTTTGTTTTTTACTTTTTTCCGTGTTGCCATGAGCTGGAAGTGCTGCAGACAATGCGAAATTTCATCAGAAATCCAAATACAGATAATGATCTAATACATAACTTGTTCGTGGTAAAAATAACGTTGATAAACGTTTCACAGTAAACCCAACTCTATATGTATATGTATATGTATATGTATAGGGGGCGCGTATGCACACATATGTATGTTTGTATGTACATACATTAGCACGGGGTGCATTGTATATTACTAAGCACCTGCGCTTATCTATAATGCGAGTTGAAATTAGTTTTGAATAAATTGTTCACAATTCGCAGTTTAAATACTTCTTTTTTTTTCTCTCTCTCTCTCTCTCTCTAACTCTAAAGCCAGCGCCGTATACAAATACTGAATATTTGACTTTGTATTTAGTAAAAAGTTCAAAGCAACTAAACCTTAAAGGGACGGCGGCGGGTGGAGGAGAGTCTGCAAAACTTTTCCAATTCAGTATTGAGAAAAATAAAACTTTGCTAAAAGTTAAGTCGCAGTTTTGCAAACATTAACTGTGGGAAGCGGGTTCCCAGCAATTCACCACCCGCTTGAGTTTACATAACTGCGCTGCTTCCCTCTCGCTCACTTCAATATCCAAGAAAGGAAAAAAAAGCGAAATTGCTGCGCTGCTGCTGCCTCCGCCCATTGTCATGTTTTTACGCTGAAATTGTCACAACAAAGCAAAATGAATTGCGGTCAGTGCGAGCGACGACGACGTGTAGAGGAGAGGGTGAGAGAGAACGAGAGATGATGACAACAATGAAGCTAGGCAAGCGGCTGTAGTAGAAGTTGTAGTTGTAGTGGAATAGCAGAGACGGGCAAGTGCAAAACTAAAGCGTGAGCAAAAAGTCAACTGCAAACAACAAAAGCCTGGAAGGAGAGGGAAGTCAGAGTCAGAGTCAGAGCGTGGCGAGAAGAGGCGCGGCGAAGCTTGCAAGCAGGATAGGGCTATATAGGTAGACAACAAAGACGAATGGGACAGACAGACGGGCGTAGGATTTTTAAAGCGAATTCAATTACTTTTTGTTGCTGTCGCTTCGTTGACTCTGTTGGCTGGCTGCTGCCACTGGCTGCTACTGCTTCTTCTTGCTATTTATTTCAATTTTTTGTTTTTTATTTATTTTGATTTTTTTCGTTTTTTTTTTTTTTTTTTTTTTTTTTTTTTTTTTTTTTTTTGCTTTTGTAGTTACTTGGAATTCGCAAATGAACTTCGCTTGAAAACAAAATCACATGCAAAGCAGAGCGCGCGGCAACAAAGCGCAAAGTGCCAAAGGAGCGCAACGAACGAACCGAAAAGGGAGGACAGAGCAGAGAACGGGGAGTGGCCTCTGCCTTCGCCTCTGCGCCTCTGTACAATGCGGCCTGAGAAAGTGTATTTCATTTTGATATTTTTCGCAAGAAAATTGAAATGAGATTTATTTATTACGTTTTCATTTTGCCGTCCGACCGTCCACCCGGCCACTCACTCATGCCATGACATACACATATATATGGATATGTATATGTGTGTATATGTACATATGTACATGTATATGTACATGTACATGTACATGTATATGTATGAATATTAAAAGGTATTTGCTTCTCTCCATTCATTGCGCGCTTCGCTCGAAATTGTGTAGTATGAACATAAACAATTCTCATGGCAATTCGGCTTTTTCATATGCCAATTTAATTAGCAATTCCACCGAATTCAGTTGCTCTCACCCACGAGCTTGATTTTTTATATTTATCTACGGGTCGCTATCTCGCTCACACACACCCGCCCACCCACACGCACACTGCTTCTTCATCTATCCCTTCATACGCTTATCATGCGGATCGTGACTGATATGCTGGGGACTTGGCCATTGCCATGGAAATACCTAGAGAAATCTCATTGACGTAGGTAAACAACAAAAATATGTAGCAAAAAAACAATCAAATCAAATTCTCATAAGATTCCATTGTTTATAACATAGCTTACTGTGAAATATGAATGCAAGCACACACACGCACTCACACATAGTCAGTTCATTTTTGACATTTGCAGTTAACAGTTAGCTGGCATGGCTGCCCAAGGGCAGTCAGTGTCGTAGAGGCAATTTATTTGTTACATTAGGGTGGTTCACGAAATGAAATGAATATTTTTATTTGAGTTGGATGCAAAGTCTTGCGCTCTTTGCTATTTTTAAATTATTTTCAAGTTTTGATAAAAATCTTTATTAGAAGACGGAATTCTACTTTTTGGTATTTCGAGCTCTTATCGCGCTATTTTGGGCAGTCGCATTATCAGCACAGCTCTCGACTCGGATAAATTTTCTAGGTAAATATACTATACTCTATGTACATATGTGCTTTATAAAGTACGCACACACGTTAATACAAACGCAATAATCTATATAAGTGGTAGCAGAAGGAGAACGAGAGGTAGCACAATAAATATATTAACATGAATGTGAAAAGTGGCAAAATTCGTAGAAATTCGCTGCGGCGCTGAAAGGCTCTCATGATAAATCCACATACAATTCACAGATATATACATATATGTACATGTGTGTTCTTGGAAAATATGTATGCACACGGTACTCACATGGTTGGTGAAGTCATGAAGTTGTTTAAAGGTACGCAGCCCCTACAATGTACATGTGTGCGTATGTGTGTGGGTGTGTGTACTTTTGTGTAGGTGTACGCCTTTGTGTATGTGTGTGTGTGTGTGTTTCTGATTAAACGCAAGCACTAACAAAATTTCGGCTTAATTTGCCAACAACTTTACTCTAGTCCAGCTGCGGGCTGTGAGTCGAATGCGTTGTCAAGGTTACCTCGAAAGATGGGTTCGGCCTATTCATGCTTAGATACAGAAACTGATACGAATATAGCTAGAGATACACACACACACAATCATTTATTTAGATACATTTGTATCTTTGTGTACATATTATGATATGCTAATGCTGGAGGTTCGCATTTGTACGCATAACGGTGAATGAAAAGAATATATCCAAATTGGCTTTTGTTCGCAGCAAATTCTAAACCCCAAAGTTAGACGGAGCTTAACAGACGAAACGAGAGAAATAAATGCAGATAATACGGCTTAGGAAAAAAACAACCATTCTGTTAAGTTGAATGAATTTAAAGACTATATACATACATACATTCTTATGTACAAACATATATAATCAGATGACATGTGAGTCGGATAGCATTATTAAAAGTCAGAAGAAATAAAGAGTACTTCAGGTTAATATAAACAATAGAAGATACGGTAGATTGCTATACGATATACATATGTACACATATGAAGTAGTTGATATACTAGTACAGCTATGTCTAGTAGTGAACATAGTGAAATATCTATAAGTATTCGATGTAATACAAGTTATTAAAGTCAATTTATACAATATTTATAAGTTCGTTAGTAGATAACTTATCATATTGTATTAAAAATAAAAAATTTTAAGTTTCTGTGTCGTAATAATAGCTAAATTTGATTAAAATCTGCGGTTGAACATTTCATTCATAGTTTCAATAGTTATACTACTCATAGAGCCCATATGATTTATGTTCCTCAAGAGCCAACCCACATACCTGGTGCCCGAATTGAGGTAGGCTCCACACTATTATCAAGAACCACTTGGATATTACCGAATAAGGCAATGCCTAATACTTTACGGCAATCACCGACTCGTTCCGTCCAGAAATGTCAACTGAACAATTCAGCGCAACAATCGGCGCTCTTTATTCAGTCAACAGAGACCATACATACGTATGTATGGATGTGAGTATAATAGCTACGATTAAATTTATAAATTTAGCGATTACGATTGCCTTCAGCCGGAAGCCGATAGGGAAAATTAAAAATATGAACGAAACCGTAAATTATAGTACTTTATGTATGAATATACATATATATATATACGCAAACACACGCACATACTCGTACTCACTCGTAAAACAGTTCCAGGCAGCTGTAAATATAATCAAAGCGTACCACAAAATTTCATTGATAAATAACAACGGTAAATGAAAAGCCCGACTGTGTATTTGTGAGCGTGTGTGTGTCGCCCATCCACCCATTGAGCTTGCCAACTAGAGGTGTGCACGGCACGTGAATTAGTAACTGCTGTATCGAGTAACGGTTACTCAATGTAAACAGATGAGTGCATAAATAAAACAAAGATGGTCTATTAAAGAACAGCAATAAGTGTGTGTAGTAAAACAGATACATATAAACACTTTGTAACAAGGCAATAAATCAGTAATCGAGTTATTCGATATTTGAATGTACTTGAATGCAAATAAACTCTGAAGTTGACCTTTCGACTCTGCGAGTGCAGAAGCAGAGAATTCAGTGCTAGTTACGCGCGCAATTTAAGTTACTTATCACAATTCACACGAAAATCAGAGTGTTTAACGGACCTGATAGTATTCAAGCGAATAATACGCGTATACACAGCGCTTATCAGACACATAGCGCACAAGACTCAAAGAGGAGGAAGAGGTTGGGAAACAACAATTCCAAGAACAATCAAAAGCGCTTCGTTTTCCATGGAAATGGAAGGCAAATATGTGCACACTCACACTGAGAGAGCGAAAGGGGCGGAGTGAGAGAGAGAGAGAGGAGCCACATGAAGAAGAGACAACATGGGCATGAGCAAGTGGCTTAGATAAGTCAACTGGAACTGGAACTGGCACTGAGGAACTGGCTCTGCTTGGCTGGGGGTCATTGGGGGTGTGTGGGCCATACGGACCAAGTGTAACAGGTAATTGGTAACTGGGCAACGCTCGGGCAAATATAGATTAGGTCGTCATCATCTACTTACGAAAGCGACCCAGATGAAACTCAAAGCAAAGCCAAACATAACAAAACATTATAAAACAAGTTCAAAAACTTGAAGCCAACCAAAATGAACCGGTTTCTGAGCAACAACAACAAAATAATCATAMTAATATCCAAGCAAAACAAAACAAAAAGTTCAATAACAATCTTTGAGTATTAATAGCTTTATATGCATACAGCTTCGATGATTTACTATGAAAAACAATTAAGAGCAAACTAACAAAAACATAAAACATCAAAATAAACAAACAACCAAAATGAATTCCACTTTAACAAAAATTGAGTGTTTTGCCCACATTTCACTTTTGGCATTGCGATTCAATTGAACAAATTCACGCGAACAATTAACAATGAGCGCAAAATGAAGACGGAGAAGAGAAAGAAAAAACAACAACAGCAACAATGCATAGCCATTCGCATACATCAAATCAAATTTCCACGAAATCTGCACGTAAATCGTATAACAAATACAATAATACAATAGAAATAGGGAAGAGTGGAAGAGAAAGAAGGAAAAAAAAAAAACAATAATAGCCCGAGTGGCAGCAGCAGCGGCAGCTGAGCATAAGCCAATAGCGACAGAGAGGTTAGAATGGGGTGGGGAGAAATAGAGAATGGCAATCTTTACATGTTCATGCGTAGCGTATCATGATAACAGTGGGATCATAGAGTCGGTTGCAAAAATTTTAAGAAAAATTTAATTTCATTTTATTTATACATACATATAGATGAAAGAAAAATATTTATATATAAATTGTAACTTGAGTATTTTAAGGAAATTCATTAAATCAGTTTAATTTTTCGTATTTTATTTCTGCTTTGTTCGAGTCAGCTCATTTTTATTTTTCATGAGTAATGCACAAAAAAATAAGCTGATAATTGCTTTTTTTATGCATTTCCGCTAGCTTGTCATGAAGTACATAGCCATATATACATATGTGTATTTATTAAAGAACAGCTGCTCAAATACCCGAACCAAAGACTAGTAGCTATACTATTAGATAAATCATAGTAAATTAAGAGGCTTTCAATGAATGTTACTCACATACTAGCAGCTTGACTGCATTTAACAACTTTTATTTATCTTGAAAATACCTAAGTTAAATGCCAAAGCAGCTGCGTGTGAACAAACACGATCAACTTAAGGGACATGCAAAGGGCTCAAGTTTGTCTTCTTCTTATTCATCTCTTTTTTTTTTTTGCTTTTCGGCGCAGACAATTTGGCATATTCGCCGTAAATATCGTTTGGCTCGCGGGCGAATCTATAAAAGCCAATTAAGCAACGCCCCAATTACACTTATCCTTGCTTCTATGTGTATGTGTGTGCGTCCGTGTGTCTGTGAGTTGGAAACAATTTCAATTTCACATGAAAAGCTATTAAAAATGCCAGAGAGCCCACAGAAATGCACTCAAAAAAAGTTTTAATACAAATTCAAGGAAATGAGCGGAAGAAGCTGGTCAAAAACCCGCTTTTAACAAGAATGATCAAAAAACTCTGCATGCTTGTGTGTGTGTGTGTGTGTGCATTACAGACAACAGCAAAGTTAATAACACCTTTTCTTGTGAAGGGTAAGTCGAAAAAAAAATATATATATCGTCTCTGCCAACGTCGAGTGTGTATGAAGTATGGCTTCAGGCGAATTGAGTCAAGTTTCGCTCTTGCTCTCTCCCTCTCTCTCTCTCTCTATAGCTGCGCGTGTAAACGTGTGTGTGTGTGTGAGGCCAGCTTCAGCTTGGCTTGTGGTGTTAAATGTTTGCAGCCGCAGCAGCAGCATTTCATTCAATAGCCGCCACAGCAACAGCAGCTGCCAACTTCAGCAGCCGCCAACTGCCGCGCTCCCTTTCCCATTGTCTGCTTTATGCTCTTGTTGCTATTGCCAAGTCTCTCAGTGTGAGCGCGAGAGCAAGCATATGCATATGGACGTGTGTGTGTGTGTGTGTATGTGTGTCAGTTTGTGTGCGCATTGTTGTCCGTCTTGTTGAGCTGCTGCTTCTGCTGTTGTTGTTGTCGTCGTCGTCGTTGGCTCGCTTGGCTGTCTGTCACTTCTCAGAAATCGGTCTAAATTAGAAAATGCGTTTCTGGGAATTTCGTATATCTCTTTTGGGCACAACGAAATAACGCAACGGCGACACCAATAATATATATGTATATATATTCTTTTTAATAAATATGTACATACATCAAGTATTGCTACTTATATGCCCTTGCCATAAACCATATATATTTATGTGTGTGTATTAATATAAATTTATCAATGGCATTTTTGCCACATAAGTTGTAAACTTTTTTGTTGGCATCATACCCAACTATTTACCTGATTAAACGCTGCTGCTGCTATTTYTGTGTTTTGCAATCGCTGTCGTTGTTGTTGCTTGCTAAATATTGGCTTGTTGGCAATTTATATAAATTGTATTTTAAGCATAATTCAGTTTAGCTAGCCACACAAACATTCGCACTTAGTTATATATCTGTGCTCTCTTTCTCTCTCATTTACACTTTCCGATTTATTTTCATCTTGTTTAACACCACGCGCACACCATCTTTTTGCACATAAATTGCACTGAAAACACAATCGAATTAGTGTTCACTTCAATTCAGCGGCGTTGATTTCATCAACTTAAGCAATTTCACTAACGCAACGAGGACGTATCTCAATTCTTTTGTAGACATTAAAGCTATACCGAGCGACAACAACGAGATACGTGCGTGCTACGAGTTCCAAGTACTGCTCGTTTGTGTCAGTGACACACACTGCCACAACGTGAAGTTGGCTCTGGCTGCCAGCAGACGCGTATCGATATGAACGATACTTCCTTTACTTGCAGTGTGACCGGATTCTTGAATTGGTGGCATTCCACGAGATAAATATTATAGAAAATTATTTATATTTTATTTTCGGCATGATATAAAATTAAAATAATTATTTATAATTTTTATGATATTTTTCTAGCGGCATATTTTCCAAGGAAAACAATGTCTTCTTAAGAAAAGAGAAATAAATACTTTTAACAAATAAATAGCTTATATGAAATAAATTTAAATTGTATCTATTTCTGAGTTTATTCATTTCAATTTCAAATAGTTATTGTACATTTGTATGATTATTCAAATAAAACGATATTTCTGAGTAAGCTCTTAAGCATACCTATCGATAGCAATTTGGCTGCGGCCATGGTCGGCTCCATGCGCGCGCATATTTGAAATGGACCTATTTGCTGATAGCAGAAATCAGCAAAACAATGTAAACAAATCTAGGTTGATAAACCTGTCAACTGAAATTTGCCATCGTTATGGCAATATTTGCTGTAAGTACAAATGTATGCACTCTAATCATAAGAAACTAAATAAAGTGAAAAGATTTTGACGTTCTAATCTCTCTACGGGATGCACAAACACAGCCAGAGGCAAGTTGAAGATAATAAATAAATTAAAATACACATTATATAGATACAAATACGCAAGATGATGTGCACACTTTTAATGCCCTACTCCGACTCGGTCTCGGACTTGGATTCAGTGCCACTCGGTCAGTCAGTCAAGCAACTTGAGCGTGAGCGTCTGTGCACTGCAATTTAATTTAATTAAGACGAAAGACGACAAGTGAAATATTTTTTCGTTGAATCAATTGTCGAGGGCAATTAGACAAGAAAACAAATCTCAGTTACTGTCTACGCGTGGGATGATGAGTGCCGAAAAGCTAGAAATGAAACGCTCCACCTCGATGCCAGTGAAGCCAAGGCCCCTAAATCCCAAGCCCTTGGCTCGATCCCCGGAGAAGGAGACGGTCAATGATACTGAAACCGATTACTATCCAGAAAGTCCAAGCTGTCTACGCAGACGACGTAAATCCAAGCAAGCAGCCGATCAATTGGAGACGCGCAGCGAGCAAAAGTGGGTCAAAATTAAGCACACTATATATTATACACATTATATACCACTTACATAACTACCGCAGCTTTCCATATACGCTCGACTGGTCGGGCAGCACCATTGAGCTCAGCCCCGACTTGGATGCGGATGGCAGAAAGCGCAGCATGCATCGGGTTATGCAAAAGAATGGTCACGAGAACGTTGTCTTTCGTCGCATTCCGGAGAAATCGTGGCGATATATGCGCGATGCGATTACCACACTGGTAAGATCCGTGTTCGGCCACAAGCCTAGTAGCAAGACAGAGCAGATAACACGTGAACGATCGAATATCTATAGCATAACGCCCAGCATTCAGCGTAAATTGGATGAATTGGCTAATGAGTCGCCGACAACAAAGCTGAAATATAAACACATGCCCAAGCCAAATAATGACGATAGGGAGAAAGTAACATTTAGCATTTAGCATTTAGCATATACTAAACACAATAAACTCACACAATTTAACGCAAATCCAAAATATATATAACAAACATATTACTTGGGTGCTGCATTCAAATTCATTTCCATCGATGACTAATTATTTGCTATCGCAAAAGCTATCGACTAGTTGGTGCAAATATTATATTTGGGTGTCGAGCATCATTCTAACATGTCAATCTCATCGCAAACGATAACGTGCGTGTACTGTCACTAACGATATCGATGGCACACGTCAATCATCGAAAACGATAACATTGATTCCGTCACTAACGAACTCGATACAAACATTTAAATACAAATTCATTCCACACTTCTATCACGTTCCAATTGAAATCGATAGCATTCGCTCAGTCCTAACCAAATTAAATTTCCCGCCCACACAGATCGAGTTGGATTGGAAATACATGCTGACGATTTTCCTAGGCAGTTACTTTCTGAGCTGGCTCTTCTTTGGAGTCTTATGCTATATGGTTGCTTATTCGCATGGTGATTTTCTCTTCGATTCGGTTACTGATGAACGTTTGGGTGAAGGACAAGATCCTTGCATCTATGGTGTGCGCACCTTTGTGGCCATGATGATTTACTCGATTGAGACGCAAACAACGCTTGGATTTGGGGAGAAATATGCGAGTGAGGAATGTCCGGAAACAATTTTTCTATTTGTCATGCAAATGATGTGCGCGGCGGCTATTGAGGGGTCAATGATTAGCATTATTTATGCGAAGACTGCGCGTCCGGCCAAACAGTTAACGAAGCTCAAGTTCAGCGATAAGGCTGTGGTAAGTCCTCTTAACAATATTTACATTTGTATGTATTTACACAAAGAGAATCTTGTAAAAAAAATCGAACTGCTTCGCTCTTATGATCAATGCTAACGCAACTGTTAAAATTACTTTGCATACATTCACACATATGCATACATGTGAGGATTGCCAGTTGGCAAACCGTTGTATTTTATGTGGCCGGTTACGAGGAGCAGCTATTTCACACTATCGCACTATGCTCAAGGCTTACAGATTCCGTTGCTCGTTGACAACAAGATAGAGATGGAGAGAGAATAAATAATATGTTAAGAATCTATAACCATAATATATAAAACCATAGACATACATATATGAATTTACATACAACATATGTATATATATACATATGTATGTATTTCAGATCTGTTATCGCGATGGCAAACTATGTTTGCTCTTTCGCGTCTGCGATCCGCGGGAACAGCAGTCCATCGAATCGAAGATACGAGTCTACATGATTGTGGACAAACAGTGAGTAAAGACAAAAGAGAGATACGATACTTATAATGAGAAACATTTGCTTTGGCAGTACTCGTGAGGGAGAGGTCATCAAGACCCACACGGAGCTGAAGCTGGAGGGAAATGGCGAGCAGCTGATTGTCTGGCCAGACATCGTTTGCCATGTCATCGATGAGACGAGTCCACTCTTCGCCTTCAACAATGCCAAGCAATTCAATGCCGGACTGTTTGAGCTCTATGTGACAATTGTTGGCACCTCGCCGACCACAGCGCAAATGACCGAGGCGAAGACTTCGTATGTTCCGCGCGAGATTTACTGGGGTCAGCGATTCGCCAACATCATCCACTACGATGCCAGCCACGAGCGCTATATAGTGGACTATGAGAACTTCAATTCGACCATATCGGTGGGTGTGGCAACATTTGATAAATTGCTGTTTGTTAATTGCAAATTCCGTCTCCAGGTGGATATGCCGGTCAAGCTAAGTCCAGCGGAACAACTGCAGCAGCGACAGCAACAACAACTCGAGCTGCAGCTTCAGCAGCTGCATTTGCAAAAGCAGCAACAGCTGAAGCTGCAGCAACTGGAGCTGCTGCAAAAGCAACAGCAACAGCAGCAGGAGGTGCAGCAACAGCAACAGCAGCAGGAGGTGCAGCAACAGCAGCAACAGCAGCAACCGGAGCAACAGCAGCAAAAAAGGGTAGCATTAGCAATTGGAGCTGCAGCAAAAGCAGCAGAAAAAGTAGCAGCAACAGCAGCGGCCATTGCAGGAGCAACAGCAACAGCAGCAGTAAACGGAGGACTAACAGCAGGAGCTGAAATTGGCATATAGAATATATATGTTGGGAATCTGTTGAGTATTAACTACTATACTTATACATACTGAATTGATGTGCATCGTTTGAATATGGACATAAACAAATTTAATACCGTGATTAATAACAATAATACATATTTATAAATGCTTTTTAAGCAGTTGCAAACAGAATCATGAATATATAATCGAAATAGAAGGAATCTCTTTGACAGTGAAGAAGCACATAGTAAAATACAATGAACAATAGTTGAAATACTTATTAATAAACAAATAGATACACATACATAAAGCAAACAAAAGGACTGCTGGCATGCAACAAAATAATCAGTTAAATCGAAATATAATTTCAACAAGCTTTTAAGCCTCATCGCCCTCTCGCACGCTGAGCAACAGCTGCAGTTGCTCTCGCAGCTCCTCGTTCTCCTTCTGCAGACAGGCGAACTCATGCACAAAGCGATCCTTGCGCAGCAACAAGTCGAGTGTTTCGCGTATCTCCTGGGTGATATTCAGCTGCTGCTGCCAGTAGTTGGCCATCTCGCTGAAGAGCAGGAAGCGCGTCTTTTCGTCCGACCACTTGAGCTCTTTCTCCAGCTTAACGAAACGTTCGTCCATGAGGCTAAGCACCTCGGCATGCTCCTTGCGCACCTCGACCAGCTCTTTGGCCAACTCAGCTCCATCAGCTGCATCCGGCAGCAAGGCATCTGTGGACAGGCCGCTGGAAGTCTTTGGCAGCAGTTGTTGTGGTTGCATTTCAATTGGCTTCTTTGCTGCTGCTGGAGCTGCATGATGTGGCGTGCTGTTCCGGCTAGCCGGCAGCAAGCGCAGACGTTGCCTCCGCTCGACTTCGGCCATGTTTGGATTCTCTTTGTCGCTGCCGGCACAGCTGCTGGCAGCGGAGCAGTTGGCCGACTGCATCTCGTGCAGCTGTGTACTGTGTTCGTCCGTCTCGGCGATCTTCTTCAGCTTGGCATCGCCCGAAATATTGCTGCGATCGCGCAAAGGACCGCTTAGAGTTTCTGTAAGAGAATTCAACAGTTTTAGTTTTTGTATGTCAGCTTCATCTACGACCTTACGTTGTAGGGAATCCGCGCTGTCCAGGGAACTTAGACCCGAGCCAGTGGCACAAATGCTCTGACGCTGCTCCTCATTGTTTTGCTTTGCTTGCAGAGCATCCCAGTCGAAACTGTCGCGTCTGGCTGTGGTTAGGCGCGTGGACATGCGATCCAGGGCGCGCGGGCGCTGCGCATCCAGGAAGTCACAGAACGAATCACGCTGCTTGCCGCCATAGCCCAGGCTGCTGCTCATCGTCGCCAGCTGCTGCTGCGTCTGCAGCAGATTGGCTGCAATGGATTTGCGCAGCTCATCGCTGGGCGTTGGCTCCACTGGAGTACCAACCGATTTGCCGGCGTCCATGGTCACGTTATTAGAGCTAGTGAAGCTGCTGCTTTGCTGCTCTTCCGTGGGCATAGGTACAAAGGCGACGCGACTCACGGCACTGTCAAAACATATTCCATTACAGACGATTGTAATCTCGATATAGGGAAAGCACTTACCAGCCCTCGTGAACCGGGCGCACTGCTAGCGGCGCCTTGGTGCTACGCATGTCGTAGGCAATCAGCTCGCCTTTGAGATTCCCTGCACAGAAGTACGTGCCACACTCGCTCAATGCCACCGTAGACAGGGGATGCGAGTAGGTCAAGCGACCCGAGGACGACTGCGCCTTATTGCGCCGTATGTCAAATATATTGATCTTGCAATCGTAGCCTACGCTGACCAGCAGCGAGGGCTGTGTGCTGCACATGCTCACATCTCGGCAAGGCGCATCGTGCGCCTCGCTCAAGTTGAGGATGTTGCGCTTCGATTGCACATCGTAGACGCTGACCGCGCCCTTGTAGCTGGCAATGGCCAAGTGGAATCGTTTGCTCGGGTGAAAACGAGCCAGAGTGGAGCTGCAAGAGAAGAGATTTGATATTAGATTTCGAACAAAATATTAGAGACAGGCGAATAAGAGAAGGAATTGGATTGTAAATATCATGTATATATAATATGTATATAGACTGTCAAGAGTGAGAGGAGAGATGTCTTCCTTCACACTTCTAGCTACAAGTTTACTCATAGACATCCCTGTTCTGCCTTCTCTGCAGCTATTCTCAAACATCTACTCACTGCTCATCGATGGTGACCGTTTCGATCTTCTGCTTGGTCTTCGTGCCGTAGATGTTTATTTTGCCGCTCTCCAGCACAGCGGCTATATAGTCATCTGTGCAATTGTAGTCCACATAGAGCACTGTGCTGCGTGACTGGTCCGCTGGATAACGGTGAATCATCTCAGCAGTGCGAAAGTCGAAGAGCTTAACGAATCCGCTCGATTGGCCGATGGCAATTTGATTGGAGGCCGTTTTGGCGCAGCACACGGAATAGGCATTGTCGATGGTCAGTTTGCGCACGCGCTGTATTTCAGGAGCTGCAAGAGAACAGATTAACATACACATCTTCCTATTTATATTGCGCACTTCGTTTATACCGTTTGGCTGCTTCTCCTTTATGCGCATCACCGCCAAGCCCGCCTTTTTGTCCACCTCCACAAAGACGCGTCGCTGCGCGTTAAATTGAAAGTCTGTGGACTCGCCATTTGCATGCTCAAATACAGATTTCGTTTCCAAATCAGCGAAATCCGATAAAATGGTCTTCTTTGAGGTGGATATTAAATACATGTTCATCAAAAAATTGCAAATTGTAAATTTAAATCAAATACTCTTAGTTGGCAACTGCGTTAAAAAAAAAGAACGGCTTTGTTTTGTATGGTCTTGGCATTAGAGTTGCCAGACTGTGTCAAGTTTAGCAGCTGGCAAGGATATTAAATCTTATTTTAATTCATATGCCAAGGTACTTTCACTAACCAGAGAACACTGGTTAGTGGTATTTTTTAAAGCTCAGAGTTATATATGCATTTCGTTTCACTTCATATGTATTTCGTTTCATTCCACAGGCAGAGGTTTTAAGCAAAAAATGAGTAGCAGCTTTGAAATTGACTGACTTCATTCAAAAAATTCGTTAGTGAATTGGAATTGGAATTGGCGGCTTTGTTTATTGAGAGCTTGAGAGTTGCCAGACTGTGCTAGAGTTTGCCACAATAAACAACACATCTGTTATAATTTAAAAACTAAGCTACTTGTATTATATATTGTTCCATATAGAACTACATGCGTATATACTATGACTGTATAAAGCCAGCTACCAGACCATCGCGTTTCTTTTCTGCAGCTGCCGTATGGTCCCAGTTCACTAATCCATGCTCTTCGAACACAATCGAATTTTGATTCTCGGGCAGCAGCTCACAGTCCAACGTGGAATCTTCAATGGGCTCGCCACAATCCAAGATAAAGTTATGCAGCATGCATGCGGCCGCGACAACAATGCTGGCCACTTCCATTGTCCCCACATCTAAAGACTTCAGTCGTCTAAAGCGAGACATCAAGGCCGTGAAGGCACGCTCGGCGGGCGCATTCCACAAATGTATAGCCTGATTGTAGCGTATGTGACAAGGCGTTAACTCCCCATTGTTGTCCGCGTACGGTGTCATCAAATTGAGCAGCAAGGGGTAGGTCATTTCACCCACGAGATGCTTATCCGCCGGCATCAGCGGTTCTTCCATGTCAATTAATCTTTCAAACAGTTCGCTCTTCAGCAGCACGGAACACTGATTGTCGGGCACATCAATGTGCACATCAAGGAAGCGACTCCGCTCATCACAAACTGCCTGGAGTGCCAGCGAGGCGTACTGCATATGCCCCTGCTCCTCGCGCACGGGCAGTTTTAGTGGTATGCGACACTCGTCGATGACACCCACTACTCCAGGTAGTTGACTGCACTTAATGCCACACGCATTATCCTTTGGCCACTTCACATAGCAAGGCATCAATGCTGCGAAGCCTGATGTAACCCATTTGAATATCTCGTGCCCAGAGCTCTTGGATATTGCAAACGATTCACCCACTTCGCGAAATGATTTGCTGAAAGAAAATGTACAAGTATCCAGTAAACTGATATTTCTTTTAGTTAAAAGTGGAAGAGTCTTGCCTACTTGCCACTCAGGAGTGTTAGGGTGTATAATAGTTTCTCTGGCAGCGATACTCGCGCTATCGGCTGGTGGTGTTCCGCCCCTGCTATTGCTTTACCCACAGCCTGCAGTAACAACTGTAAAACATAACATTTATAATACGTAAATATAAAGGCTATAAGGCAAATAGATCACCTCAAAGCTGCTGCGCTTCATGCGAAACTGTTCCTTGAATTGATCATCCAAAAATCGTGGAATTTCTTGTTTATCCTTATCCACTTCATTCGTTGTATGTAGCACACTTAATGTACTTTCAGCTGTAGCCAGTCGCACGGCCTCGGCCAGCTGTGGGCCCAGACCTTCGTCCAAAAAGAAGTTCAGCATGAACGCTCTGTGTGCGCGTTCATTCATTTTACCCGGAAAAATGCATAGGTAAACAAAATAAAAGTAAACACAGGTCTAACAGCAACAGCTGATATGATAATATTGAAATAGCGATGATACGATGATAATTAGTATCGATCTATCGCAAAGAAATGTGAACATAATTCAAATGTAAATGTCGAACATGTATAAAATCATCAACATAGAGATGAGAGCCTTTTAAGGTATTTCATAAATATCGGTCTATCGCAATGACTTTGCTGTATTGGAGCAATAAAAATGTTAATGAGACCTGCAATTTGAAAGACAGTGGTAAAAATAGGCATTAAACTGTCTTATAAGTCTATTGGGACACGCTTGTCTAATTGAAGCCAATTTCATGAATCGATAATGTAAAATAACAGTTCTTACGAGAGCACTAACAGGCACTTAACAGCTACTTATTTGCAAAGGAAATCAATACAATTTATACTTGTCATATAGATAATAGCCCAGTAGTTATTTCTATAAGACATTTAAAGTAACTCTAAAAAAATATTATTCAAAATTAGCGAAAATATCTCTTTTCAAAATTGGCGATGGATCGCTGTTAATAACAGCGCAGCAAAATGTTAAGTTTTTGGTTGCCAAAAAAAAAACCCAACATATGTTAGATGAACGACAATCAGGGGTTCCGTTCGTTCAGTTTATTTAGTGAGTCTTGGCCCGTGCAAATATCAAATAAATTTGCCAATATAAATTACAAAAACTCAAATTGCGCACTCGTTTTGCCAATAGCAGCAGGCAGCAGGGAGCGGACAGACAAAGGCCAATAGAAAACGCAATAGCTAAAATAAAGACACTAACAATAACAGCAACTGCAACAACGACAACGACAACTACAACAAAAACAACAACACAACCACACCTGCTGCAAAATGGAGGCGGAGGGTCTGACAAATGAGCAAACAGACAAAGTGTTACAATTCCAAGATCTAACTGGCATAGAGGACATGAACATATGCCGCGATGTGCTCATGCGTCATCAATGGGATCTCGAGGTGAGTGTCGTGGGTCGCTTGCTTGGAGTCTTAGATTAACGAACGCATCTTCGTGCAGGTGGCTTTTCAGGAGCAGATGAACATACGTGAGGGCCGACCCACAATGCTGACTGCCTCGACAGATGTTCGCGCACCGGCTGTGATCAACGATCGATTCCTGCAACAGGTCTTCTCGGCGAACATGCCAGGCGGACGCACTATTAGCCGGGTGCCAAGCATCGGGCCAATGCCACGCAGTTTCACGGGCATCCTCGGCTATGTGATCAACTTTGTGTTCCAATACTTTTACTCGACACTCTCTGGGATTGTGCGCGCATTTATTAACATTGGTGGCGGCAACGAGCCGCGCATTGTCTCCGATCCACTGGCCGATGTGATGAAGTTCATAAGAGAGTATCACGAACGCTATCCGGAGCATCCGGTCTTCTATCAGGGCACCTATGCCCAGGCCTTGAACGACGCCAAGCAGGAGTTGCGCTTCCTGCTCGTCTATCTGCACAAGGATCCCACACAGAATCCAGATGTGGAATCCTTTTGTCGTGACACGCTGTCATCGCGCCCAGTTATTGACTATATCAATGCGAACACGTTGCTCTGGGGCTGCGATGTGTCCACGCCGGAAGGATATCGCGTGATGCAGACACTCACGGTGCGCACTTATCCCCTGATGGTTATGATTAGCTTAAGGGCCAACCGCATGATGGTCGTCGGACGCTTCGAGGGCGATTGCACGTCAGAGGAGCTGCTGCGTCGCCTCCAGTCGGTCATCACCGTCAACGAGGTGTGGCTGAGTCAGGCGCGAGCCGATCGACTCGAGCGCAACTTCACGCAGACGCTGCGCCGCCAGCAGGATGAGGCTTACGAGCAGAGTCTGCTCGCCGACGAGGAAAAGGAGCGTCAGCGCCAGCGCGAACGCGACGCCGCTCGCGAAGTGATTGAGGCGGAGGAGCGCGCCCGACGAGATGTTGAGCTACGCAAGGAAGAGATAGCTAGGCAGAAGATCGAGCTGGCCAACCTGGTGCCGCAAGAGCCGCCAGCCGATGCGGCAGATGCCATTGCTGTGGTCTTCAAGCTGCCTGATGGCACACGTCTAGAACGACGCTTTCAACAAACAAATTCCATTTTGGTATATCATCAAAGCTAATCCCTAAACTGTGCCTCATTAACGATCTGATTTTCTTTCAGGACGTTTATCATTTCCTCTTCTGTCATCCCGCTTCGCCGGATGAGTTTGAAATTACAACGAATTTCCCAAAGCGTGTTCTCTATTCCAAGGCGGCCATCGATGCAGCCGAATGCTCTGTCGATGAAACCTACAGCAAAACCCTAAAGGATGTGGGTCTTAAGCATCGCGAAGTGCTCTTCGTCAATGATCTGGAAGCGTAACCAAGCCCTACTACCACCAAATAACAAAAACAGTAACAAAAGAAAAATAACAAAAATGAAACATACAAAGGAACGGAACGAACACTGAAATCTGTGTGTTACCAGCTAAACGAAAACGCATTACCAAATAACTTGAACCAAGTTTTGAGTAGTCGTAGTCCTCAACTCGAGTCCAATCCGTTTGGCCCAGTCGGAGGTTGGAGCTTCAAAACAAACACGCAAGAACTCATAGACAACAACAAATAATTCCTAATTAATCATGAATATATATAAACAGAATTGTTTAACAATTTTTATGTTGATTTTCGTCTAACACCAATTTTTCCGCCCTTTAAAGTAACTTCAAACAATTTCCATTATTTTTTAGGGTTTTTTTTTTCTCACACAAGTGTTGATTTAGCTGTATTTACTTGGCATTATTTAATTTGAAGACAAAAATTAAATAGAAATGAAGACAGTTTTTCATGACGAAATACAAAATACAAAAGTTTGTAAAATAATTTTGTAACAATTTTATTCACTAAGTTTAAATCTAAATGAAACCAATTTTAATTGGGTGGTAATCTAAAAGATACAATTTTAAAATAATAGGATAATAGAAAATGAAAGAGATAAATAATTTGCTAATCAATCAACTTATATGAAATATTTTTAAAAAAAATTTTAGTTTATAAAATAAAATCAATTGCAGTTAAATTTAGAGAGTGACATATAGAATCGATATTTGCATCAAGTTTTAAAAAGTATCGATGTGTTGACAAGCCAACCATATTCAATTAAATATTATGCTAATTAGTTGACAAATCCTTAATAAATTGAATTGATCGTTGCAAAGACTAACGAATTAACAACAAACAAGTTCTTTTGATGACAAAAAAAAGAAAAGAAGTATTCTTAAGATTCTTAGTGAAGCAAATTGCATTTGAACATTCGAAATAAGTAGAGTATCGATAGATGCATTTTTAATTGGTAAATTCACTTTATCGATACGCTGACGCTCAACACAGGGTGACTCATGCCCGCATATCTCATGAGTCAACTTGTTAAAGGTATTTGTCGCACTTAATCAAAGAGCCACACACACACAAATTGCGTGTCAAGCATTGAAATTTCCAAGCTCTTAAACTGGACAGCAAATATAGTGACTCCGAGGAAGATTCCATTTGGCATAGCACAGACGAGCGGGCACGTCTATTGCCCAAAAGAGGAAGCGAATCGAATAGTTTTGGCTTGCGGCCCAAGTTAAGGCAGCTGGCGTCTCAGCTGTTTGACCTCGAAGAGGTGCAGCAATTAACGCGTGGCCTACGCCAAGTGAATTACCAAAAGCTCAGCCAGGAGTTGCCTCAGAAGTTAAACAATCCCAAATACTCAAAAACCATGTCGGCACCATCAACCTCTTCCGTTGGCGATGCGGCTGCAGCGCTCTCTGGAAATTTGCAGCTTGCGCCACTCCGAACTCTGGATGACTTTGTGCTCGGATCGGCGCGCTTTCAGCTGCCCAACTTGAAGGACTTTGACAAGTGGGGCAACCGCGTGGTCAAGAACTTGCTGTACTATCAGACGAACTACTTCCTCGTCTTTCTGGCCATCTACGTCATCATGATAGCCTGCAATCCCATGAAGATCATCAGCGGCCTGATTGTGCAGGCTCTGCTAATCGCCATCATTTGGCAGTTCTTTAACAGCAAGTCCAAGACGAACTTCATAGCCAGTCGCCTGACTGGTGGCAACCCGATTCTAGCTCAGCAGCATGCCCAGCAAAAATGGTACATCCTGGCAGGCGCCCTGTTGGCTGGCTATCTGTTCCTGCACATGATTAGCGCGGTTCTGCTGACGGCCTTCACGCTGCTGCTGCCCGTCTCGGTGACCTTCATCCATGCCTCGCTGCGGCTGCGCAACATGAAGAACAAGCTGGCCAACACCATCGAGAGCTTCGGCCCGTCCACGCCCATGGGCTCGCTCCTGGATGCATTGAATGTGCGCGCCGAGGGAGTCGTCAATTAAAGCGGCAGATAAATAATGCTAATTGTTGATCATGTTTGAGGGAATGTCTCCCCCTTTTGAATAGATGCTTCGATTCACTGTATACACCTATATATATATCTATATTTATATATTATGATTTGATCTTTTTTACGTTTAAAAATGAATTTCTTATTCACGTATTGTTTCTGCTAATCAGCAATTATAAAAGTCAATAAAAGTTTTCCCTTAAAGTAAATCATTAAATAACGAATTTCTGATGCTTACTCAAAGTTCACATGGATTGTGAACATGCATACAGATGGATGTGATTGTAATATATATATGTACATACATATACATTAAAGAGCTTGATATACTTTAGGCAAAGACAGGCAACACTTATTTACCAATTAATCGACTGGCTATTTGAAATAAATAGATTAGATAGCAGCACATTCGATTTAAAGTCTGGTACATGGAAATATATGGGCTATATTAGATATAGGGTACAGTAATTTGATTTGAAAATAGAATAATGTTTGCCAACAAATCGAATGACTTCCATAGCAGCTTAGAATAGAGCCTACATCTAAATATCTATAATTTCAGGTATATTCTCCTTTAGTCGCTTTGAGTATGTGAGGACACTTCGTTCAGGTACTGAACTGAAAATATCGTTGAATATAATGAAATACAAAAGGAAAAGACTCTCTCCAGCAAAAGTACACAGTCCTCGACTAATCTAGATTCCCGCTAGCGGCTTAATATTGATTTCAAGCTCTAACGCAACTCAACCGTTGCTGGACAACCAGATAATAGCTGCTGCGTGCTTGAGAGCCAATCCCTGGACACTTGGTGTTTGGGCGCGCACACTGTCACACCATCCAAAGAGCAATAGTTCTTGTCGTTTATCATTGTGAAGTTCAGCTTAGCATCGCAGCTAGCCATCAAGACAATATCATTTTCGTTCTTGTGCGAGACTTCCAGTAGCTTCGCATTTACGGCGCCCAAGCAGTGCGGCACGTGCCACAACCCCTGATATTCTGCAACAATTTTGCGCCAATCCGAGACCTTGGGATGTGGCATAAAGGCGGGTGCTAGCGTATTCCACAGGACTTCGCTCATATCCTGGATAGTGGCACGCACTGTGGAGCAGCTCATTCTGAAGGCCATCGACAGATCGACCACCATGGTTGCTTTCGTTGTAAAAGATCTTGGCAAACAGGCCATCAATATCGCGATTCAGATTCTCCTCATTCACCCAAATCCTGCGCCGGCTCTCATTCACGTTTTCCACTTCGCCATGTCGCCGCCTCTTGCTTGGCGGATCTTCAGTTGTCACTTGGATCTTTGGTCGCTTTGTTGGACATTTTTCTAACATTACCAGCGCTCCATAAGCCAAATGAACTATTTGTTGCAGCCAGTGCAAATCTTCGACGTCCATTTTAACAGAATTGAATTCCGCGCGCCGCGCAGCTAACAATTAGCGCACTCAACGTAAAACTCCCCGGTTATCGATAGAAAAGGATCGATACTTAGTCAGCTTTTCGTAGATGGCGTAAGAAGCGTTTCGATTTCATATCGATTCAAAAGTAAAGTATCGATATGCAGTTTGATGTTCCGTAGGAATGTAACTTCAGTAACGGCACCAAACGTAATTAGTGGTAACGGCTACGGTTGAGCGTAAAACTCCAATGGTGAAATATCCATATTAGCTTTTTCAAAATATTTTCTACTTGCTTGAAATATATTTGACGGAATTTGATTAAATAGCATTTATAAATACTTAACAATAAAGTTAAAATAGTAAATTAAGCTATGAATAATTATCTAATTTAAAAATAAATGTATGTAATAACTTAATTTAGTTTTATTTTTGTAATATAAAACTAAATCGATCTTACCCTCGCGCTTTTGCTGGATTGCAATTGTGTTATTAGCGCGTATTTTGAATGCTAATCGAATGCTAGTCATAAATTATATATTTGTAGTCGCTTTAGGGTTATAAATAGATTTGCAGAAAGTGCTCCGCAATTGTTTCCCTTCGCGTAGCAGAATCACATTTTGTCACAGAGACCAAAAGCTGAGAGTCAAAGAGATGAAAATTGTGGACTCCCCCGTTGCTCTTTGTCTTGTTACTGCTGCGACAAATAAAAAAGGGAAAATGTATTCATGTGTATGGAATATATAGTAAAAAAAACAAAATGACATAAGTGGTTTTCTTTCTTTGAAATTTATTTTTGCTTAAAAAGTAAAAAGCGCAGTTTCCAATTAGTGCGCATTTGTTAGCTGAAGTGATTGGTAGAACAATTGACAAAGATAATAATTTGAAAACAAAAAATGTTGGAATTGATGCGCGATCATTGGACTCTGCTACGAGATGTATATCAACACGATCGCACAAATCTAACGGGCTACGATCTAATCAACATGTATATAAATAACAACGATGAAGCGAATCATGTGAAAATGTACACGACAGACGATGATTGGCTGGATCATGGAACATTTGTGCTAATCGTTAGTACTATATGAAGGAAATATAGACAATATATATGTAGTTATCTTTATATGTATTACAGCACAACAATATCAACAAATCAGATATATATCTAAATACTCTAAGTGGTTCGTTCAGGGATCTACAAAATCTGCTGAGTTCTCTTCAACTGAACGATCGAGTCTGGTTTTGTGGCTATAAACAGGTATTGAAGTTAACTGTAAATAACTATTGCCTTGAGAGAGGACTAAGTTTGAAGAAGTTGGATCAAATGGAAACATATGTATATTATTTACCTAAAACGACTATAGAATCATTCGATAGTCGGTAAGATATGACTTAGTTTAACATATTATATATATGTGTATATAATACATACTCTTCAGTTTAATTGCAGATATAAATTTCGCTCCATTGAACCTTAAGCACGCTACTTTAGTTGATGAACATTGGCCATATCGTTCAATTGATTCTTTGGCACTGATCGAGGATCGCATCCAAAATCATATTAGTGTTGGCGCTTTCGATGGAAATGGTCAACTTTTGGCCTGGTGCTTGAGGTGGTTAACTTCAGATATATCCCTTATACATATATACCACTAATATATCCTCTTATTCAGAGCTGTCCAGGGAAGTCTCAGCAATTTGTATGTGTTACCCTCTTATAGGCGTCTCGGTCTGGCTTCTTTACTGGTGCGACATATGGCTAAAAAAATTGCCGCAACTGGAGCCGAGGTTTTGGCCACGATTGCCTTTGGCAATGAAATTTCCCAGCTATTTTTTGAGAAACTTGGTTTCAAGCTTATCGACAGTATAGTCTTCACCATGGTGCCTGCACTATGATCGAGCTATATAGAAATCAATTTTACTGTATAATTATATATAGCATATATCAAACATGAAATACCTCAACAAAATATAGAAAATAAAGCTCATTGCTGAATGTAAACAAACAAGTGCTCTCTATTAAATATAAATGTTGCATGATAATTATTACTATTAAAATGTGTTACATAACGTTTATTTATTTTCAGATAATTTAAAATTAACTCATTTCAATTTTGCTGAATGTGTTTGAATTCGCTCCAATTGCTCATACTCCACTATAATCCACTGCAGCTTCAATTACTTTGAGCTTCACCCGTAACCGTTTACCAGCGAATATGCAGAAAAAATACTCTGCACCATATCGTAACCAACCAGCAACAGGTCAACGAATCGACTGAGCAAGAGCTGACAGATGCTTCCCATTTTATAGACAGCACAATTCGCTCAAAATAGGAGCTGAGCGCGTGAGAGCTTTTGTTGAGCTAGTTGTCTTACTCATTAAATACGAAGTGCATGCTGAAGAAGAATAAGTGTACTTATTACCGACAGGCAGAGTAACGGAGATAACTAAACCGACTCAGCTCTTCTTACTCATTGAGAATATCATTGTTAGATTTTAGTTGATATTGTATCCAAGTAGAATTAGTTCGTCTAGGCATAGTATGTATGTATCGTGCACATGTTTTATATTATGCTTGATAGACCTTCACAGTAATCTAATCTACTGAATGAATTTACAGTTTAGTTATCTGACGAATTATCTTTTTACTGATTTTTCAGCGTTTAGTCGAAAATCTTTGTCAACGCCGGCCAGCTGTTATTAATCTTATAGTATCAATGCATGCTGAGACTCTCTTCATTTAGATCATAATTTTACCATTGCACCGGCTGCACTAGAGGCCTTGCACTTGCGCACACATATGCATATATGTATGTTTATATGTCAGTCGTTTGTATACAGTTACATTTGATTACTTGCGTTTCGTTTTTTGAAAATTGTAAAATGATAAACACATGTACCAAATTGTTGTCAACTGACTCTCTCTCGCTCTTTCGAATTCGCCTATTTATAGAAGTGCTTATGACTTCGCCCATTTTAGTTGTCGGGCGAACTTGGAGCCGGTTGGTCATGTCGCAAATGCAATACGAATCTCATTCGCTTGTCGAGATAAGCCGCAGTGAATGGAAAACTTTGCTAGAGCTTTACAAGCACAAACAACTTGAACCCAATGGATATGGGCTAATAAAAAATTATATTAAATGGGTAGCTGAAGATGAGAAGGTGGATGCTAAAATATACTCGCTCGATGGCGAATGGCAAAGCGATGGCACTTTTGTAATGATTGTATGTACACAAAGAGAGTGCAGTTAAGAAGAGAGTAAAGTAATGAGAGTCTGCTCAATAAATTATGCACACATTTGCTACTCTTCGTAGGTTAACCATGGCATGGCCTTCAAAGAGCTCTCTTTTAATACACTCAGCGATAATTTTAAGCGATTGACAAATGCAATGCTTTGTGTGCTATACGAAGCTACCGATGCTTATTTGCTCACAGCTTATGGAGAGCGGCTTATACCAGTAGTAGATGCCTTAAGAGAGAAATGTAAGAGCATTTTGAAGAGAACGGATCAAACAGTCTGGTACAGAGCGAGCAAAGAGTTAGTGGCAAGCTTTACAGCGGAGTATGTATTTTTTATAGACCATAGAAAGCACTGAAAGTTCTATTAACATTTCTGTTTTGATTTTTTAGACCACCTGCTGGAATCGAGTTGCGTCGCTTGGAGGTGAAGCACGCCTCGGCCATCAATGAAATCTGGCCGCATCGTTCGGAAGGTTCTGTTGCATTTGTGAAGAGCTTGATAACTCACAATATTTCAGTGGGCGCTTACGATGAGCAAGGCAATTTAATAGCCTGGTGTATGAGGTGTGAACGATAACCTATCGAATATGTATATGTGTGTTTGTTCTTAAAGAGTTCCTTCACAGATTACCTAGTGGAGCGTTGGGTCTGCTGCGGGTTGTGGATACCCACAAGCGCCTTGGCTTGGGTAGTTTAATGGTTCGTTATTTATCCAAAAAAATTTCGGAGCTCGGAGATGAAGTTAGGGCACCTGTTGTAACAGAGAATACGCCCTCTCGCAAAATGTTTGAAAAGCTTGGCTTTCAGCAGATCGATCACGTTTACTGGAGCTGGTAGCGACAATTAATATTTATGTATAGCGCTACTCAAAAGAAAACTTTAAGATGAGGAATGCCACAATATTCCAATATTCCAGAGTATGTATTAGAAATGTTAATTTCTTTGTTTTGTGGTTTGAATTGCCATTCAACATTATGAGCTTTTACTTTTGTTAAAATAATAATAATACTAATAACAATAATAATAAATTTATGCACATGATTTTATTGTTTTTATTTTAGAGTATTTAATAGTCGAGCATTTCTGACTAAATCATCCATTGTTGCGTGAGTTAAGTTTTAATTAAATCTCGTTCACATAACTAAAAAATCTTGATTTGTTTTAAAATTATTTTTAACTACAAAAATAATATCCGAATATAATACTTTTAATGACACAATCATATAGTCATGAAATGCATTATAAATTTGATAATTGAATCATTGAAATATACATAACATATCCGTTGTTTTCCAATTTGGAAAATGAATAATTTTCTATTGAAAAAAGTATGGAAATTAATTTGACGCAAATGAAAAATTTACCAGCTATACATTGCAAATCAATATTGACATATGCTAAGGAACTATACGACTTACAGGCGAAGGGGGAAACACCCACAATATCTCAAAAAGCAGTTCGAAACAAACTTTCCCAGTGAACCCCAAGCAAGAGTATGACAAATCTTTGATGAATAAATCAATATACATTCATATGCAAACTGCCAATCTTAATATTGTCTCAAACACGAAATTTCTGCATACATTATAGGAGTAGATAATACGTATACAATAATCTCTAAATATTTGCTCAAATACTTAGTGTCAAACAGAGATGCGTCAAAGAGAGCGTCAGGTATTAGTATTCTAGTCGCATGGATGGGAAGTTGAACAATGAGCATGATAATCAACAGAAAAGGGGTTAGAGAACGCATGACTAGAGAATACCCTATGCAAAAGTTCGAGCTGCCTTTGCATGAATATCAACTGCTGTCTATACGTACACTGATGGCCAAAATATTAAGTACAGCAAGTTAAGTTGGTTACCGGCTAGCCTTGAAATGAACTGGATCAGAAAATAAACCATCCAAAAGACATACGAGTCAAAAGCATATATAAACACATACAGTAATGTCTGCAACAGTTGGTATGAACCAAATTTATTGTACATAAATGTATAATAAAGTTTCCACTTGCACAATTTTACAGTTCAGCTCATAGTGATTAGTTCAATTCACCTAATCGATTAATCGGTTTGCTGCCACACGATAAATTCTTGAATGATTGTTCTCTACTAGCCGTTACGGATTACATATATATGCGATTTGCTATTTACTAATTGGCTGGACATGCCTTTTTCCCTAAGCTTTTTGGTAAGTATTGAGTAATAAGAGATATCCGCTAAAGCGACTCATCACTAAGCGCTAATTTTATTCCTGAATACTTAATAGATAGCGAGAGAGAGAGAGTGAGAGTCTAAAGCCTGCTGATAGATACTTAAACATACACTATATTTAGATTGAGAGTATAAAACTAGATACCTATTTGGATCAACTATTTAATGAGGCAGAATCGAACGTAGTGCATGTCAACAAAATGTAAACAATAACGGGGTAAACCCAATGCAATGAGTTGTCATCAAAGAGAGCGCTCAGGGAGCGTCAGAGTTAAGAAGAGGCTGCGAGAGATGGTGAGTGAGAGAGTGTTCATGTGTGTGTGAAACGGAAGGGGTGCACATGGGACTGGGCTTGGATCGCACTTGTGATAACGAGTTTTATATATTTTTTTCGCATCAACCTATAAACTGTTGTGCACAAAGCGTGACAAGCTCAGTTTAACAGCAGCTTTAGAGGCGTTAACATCGCGAGCGTTAACTGCTACACATATACACACATATATACATATTATATGTATATATAAAAACAATTCGTAACTAAAGATAAGCATAAATTGTCCCAATGTTAGGCTCGTTGTTTTTGTTGGCCTTCGCCTGCCTGTTTGTCATTGGCAATGGCGATCTGGATTTGTGGCGCGATGTGCGGAGGCCGGAGCATCAGGCTCTGTTGCAGAAACTGAACGAGGCACACTCGACAGCCAGACCAGCATATTTAGCCCCAACGGCGCCGCCGCCGCCCCTGCCACAGTATTTGCCTAGCGTTCCCGCTATGGCTCAGTCTGTTGCTGCCTTTCCGAGCATCGAATACGCTGGCTCCAGTTCGGGCAATGTGGATGTGGCCGCCTCGGATGACATCGCACGCAACGTACTCACTTTCGCGCAGAATCTCTCCAATCAGATCAATGCCAACTATCGAAAGACAGTGATTTTTTCACCACTAAGCATTGTGTCTGCGCTAGCTCTGCTACTGCTCGGCGCCAAGGGACGAAGCTATTCGGAATTGGTTACCGTCTTTGGTCAAACGGATATGGTTAAGCTTCACGAACAATTCGGCTTGATGCTGCAGGATGTGCAGCAGCCAACTAGCCAGACGACGTCCCCAGTGCGTCAGCTGGATGCGTGGCACAGCAATAGCCTGCGCCGCAGCCTGCGCAACTATCCGCGCAATCGCCACGCCCCACAGGAGGTGCATGTGGCTAATGGGCTGTTCGTTAAGCACGGCTACAACTTGAATCCAGATTACAGGTGAGTCAATCAATCAATCGATTCTCAATAGTAACTTGGAACTTATATAGTTCCGGTTTTTCTATAAATATTTATTAATAATGTGAGAAACGGGAGTATATTTCATTTCGAGTACTTTAACTCGTTTTACATCAACAATTCTTTACATTATAACGGGCATCTCGCTCGTGCCTGTTAGAAATGTGCAATTTTGCGATAGCCATTGTTAAATATCGATTATTGCCCATCGGCCGCAAACCAAATTTACACAAGATTAAATCATTTTTAAGAAAACTTAATTTATATTAAGAAATGAATCCAATATTAAAAATTCTTCTCTTACAGACAAGCTGTCGTTAGCATCTATAAATCGGAATTGCAAATGCTCGACTTTGCCAACAGTCCAGCGACGGCCAGATACAATATTAACTCGTGGGTGGAGCAGCAAACTAAGGGCAAAATTGAGAATATAATCCCAGACGATTTGCCGCAGGAAACGCGCATTGTAATGGCCAATACCCTGTACTTTAAGGCTATGTGGGAGATCGATTTCATAGCCAGTGCGACGAAAGTTGAAAACTTCTATCCCAATGGCGAAGGCAGTCAGCCCGTGATACCCGTCGATATGATGGTCGGAGCCGGCGCGTTTCCCTACTACGAGGATCAGCAGCTTGACTGTCGGATCATTGGATTACCTTACCATGGCAATCTGACCACAATGTATGTGATTCAGCCCATGCGTTCCTCTGTGGAGCAGTTGGCATATTTGCAGCAGAGACTGAGTGCGGATGCGATTGAGAACATGATAAGCCAGATGACAAGGCGATCGACAATTATAGCTTTCCCCAAGATGCATCTCACAGAGTCCTTTAAGCTGAACACATTGTTACAATCGATGGGAATTGGCGGAATCTTCAACCCAGTACAAAACGATCTTTCATTGATTGCCTCAAATGAACCAACTGTGCAGGCACCTCAAATTGGACGCAGTTATTCGGATGGCTTGGGCAGTTTGCAACGTTTGGTGGCTCAACGGCAATTGGCACAATCGAGTAAGACACCCACGCCCCCCTCCGATCTCATTGTGTCCGATATTCTGCACAAAGTGGACTTTACGGTCAATGAACAGGGCACCGAGGCGGCAGCTGCCACAGCAGCTATACTGAAAAAATCCGGTCCAGAGGTGCTGTTCCGGGCGGAGACACCTTTCATATTACTGGTGCGTCACGATCTGACAAAACTGCCCTTGTTCTATGGTATGATCAATGAGCCACCCACAGCCAAAGCGAGTTTAATGCATAAGAATTAGAGACTAATCTAACTTCATAATTAGAAACTTAAGTAGCTAGCAATTTAAGTTGAGTGTATGTATTTAGAAAAGATTCTTCAATAAGATTGTAGGCTTATAATTTAAAATATGCTCCACAATCTGCCTTGTGTACATACATATACAATTGCTCCTATTTATAAAATAAATTTAATTTAAATTTAAAACATTGTTCTATTTGCTTAAATAACAAGGAAAATCGAACTATACAATTTATTACAAAAAAAAACTCAAAGAGTTTGCATTTCAAAATGAGCGCCTACAAGTCGATAGTTTTCAACTGCAACTCCTATCGATAACTTACGCGCACTGTGAATGGCAAAACGTACCGCCTAGGTCTGCCCTACCAAACAGCTGTTAACATTTTTAGCTGAAAACAAATTGTTCTTTGAACTCCAGACACTTTATATACAAATACCAATACCAAAATGATGGCAATGCCCGATTCCGACTCTGAGGATGAGCTGCCCCCTGGCTGGGAGGAACGTGCCAACGACGATGGTGTCGTTTGCTATGTCAAGCAAGTCTTCAATATGTACAGCTTAAGGAAACGCAATTAAACATATGATTCCCAATTTGCAGTCAACAAACTAAGACGACACAGTGGACGCATCCACGAACTGGACGATCCAAGCGGATTACCGGCGATTTGCCGCTGGGCTGGGAGAAATACTACGACGGGCAAAGTCAACGTTTTATGTTCCACAACAAAGAAACGAAACAGCGCACAAATATTGATCCACGTCTGGCATTTGCTGTCGAGGAGCCGACACTAAATATTAGTCAAGTGCGTCAGCGCTTTGATTCGTGCAGCACCGCGCTGCAGATATTGCATGGCAAAGATTTACACGGCCGTGTGGCGCTCATAACAGGTGCAAACTGTGGCATCGGCTTTGAGACAGCACGTTCCTTAGCTCTACATGGCTGCGATGTCATCTTCGCCTGCCGTAATTCAAGTACAACAGCGGAGGCCATTGAGCGCATAGCACAGGAGCGTCCGGCAGCACGTGCCCGGTGTCGTTCAGTGGCCTTGGATTTGGGTTCATTGCGCGCTGTGCAGCAGTTTGTAGAGGAAATCAAGCAGAGCGTTGTGTGAGTGTGACAACTACAGACTGTTTTCCATATTTTAATATCATAATTTGAATGTTTCAGTCATATCGACTATCTGATATTGAACGCCGGCGTCTTCGCTTTGCCACATACGAAAACTGTCGATGGACTCGAGACAACATTCCAAGTATGCCATTTATCGCATTTCTATTTAACGCTGCAGTTGGAAACACTATTTGACCACCGTACGCGAATTGTCGTAGTCTCATCTGAATCACACAGGTAAGTAGATCTAGTTATATGTCTAAACAGCATTGAAACACCGCTCACTACATGTAAATGGCCGGCACTGTATTTGAATACTAACAGATTCATTCAAAAACAATACTCGAATAGCTACCTAACCACTTGATACTCTTAAATAGCCATTAGTGTATTTCCTGAACTGAGAATATTTTAATGGACTCCACTGTAACAGGTTTAGTTCGTAGAAGCAGCATGCACATAGCATCATAGTACACTAGACATACTGTAAGAACCGCCACTGTATCTGAATGGAATCCACTGCATTCCGCTATGCGCAAATGGTACTAGGGCAATTTAAATGGCTGGCACTGTTGTGCATATAATCCAACTGTATTTGGCAGCATTTGTTTGCAACAAGTTTATTGCACTTATCGCTTGGACTTTGGGCTGGCTCGAGTCTCCGTTTGTTGTTTCTTTGCGTTGGCGTCTATGCAGTTTGTGACTAAACTATAAATAAACGCTTTGCATGCAATTTATACAACAACATACAACAAATGTATGTATGTATGTACATATGTATGCATGTGTGTGAGCTCCCAAATATCTTACATTTAAATAAATAAACTAAAGGGCGCTCAGCATAGCCTTTGCACATACATACATATGTACATATGTATATATGTATTTACATAGAGTATTAAAATATGTATGTAATACTTCTGAATATTTTCTAATCTAAAATTGCTTGTATGATGTCTTGGGCTTCTTTAAATAATGACCTTGCAACATTGGTTTGAAATAATATTTTTTTTGTTACGGCTTAACCTTGACTTCAAGGCGCGACGCAATTGAACTCGGCGTTCAAATCCGATTTATTTACATTTTTATACTGCGCATATATAAACTACGTCATAAGTTTGCCCTAACAAGGGGAAACCTGTAAATAGGAAAATCTTGTTGAAAGTACTTTTAACATTACTAGTTTTTTAAACAGCCTGTTTACATTTTTATATGAACTTCTTCCGGTGTCAAATTGCTGATTTTGGTAAAATGGTAGCGGTGCCCATATAAAATTGTTTACATTTTTATATGTACACATTTACACGCACACACACACATTCATATTCGCTCTAGTGCATGTTCATATCAGCTGAAGCCACATACGTTCAATTCACGTGCTGCGCGCACAAGCACAGTGGTACGCAGCCAGCATTTAACTGCTGTTCAACAGTTTGGTTGCATATAACAGCATCTGGCTACACTGTGTCTGTATACGAATGGGCAGATAAATCAACGAAACTCGCGTGAAGCGACGAATCGACGAACAAAAAGCAATTGAAGTGAAGTTGCTCATTGTTGTTGGAGGTGGTTTTTGCAGCTGCGTTTCTTCAGCTGATTCTGTGTTCGTTACCGCCATCACGTATAACATTTGTTGGCTCTGCGTTTTGGGTATCTTTCTGTCTGTATCTCGTGGAAGCATGCAGCAAAAGTCGCGTGCGCCAATTGTGTACTCACTAAAAGTCATGTATGCCAGCCATTGCACACACACACGCGCACGCACGCAAGCATAGCATATCTATGTATGGGTAGGCTGTTAAATATGTGTCTCTGAGCATATCTGTGCATGGGCTGTCGAATGTGTGTATTTGATGATTAATGTTGAGTTTCTATTGGGGTCAGAACACACAAAGCGATAATGATAGGCGGGCGTTGCATGGCCAGGGCGTCAAGATTTGTTTGCTGCTTGGGAAATAAAATTAAGTTAATTAAAATGATTGCTATAAAAACAATTGATAAAGAGACCTCTATGAAGACATTAAATGAATTATAAATAGGCATTATGCTAATCTTTTGTTGAAGTATGTACATCCACGACAAGCTACAAGGTAAAGGGAAAAGAAGCTTATTTTATTTTTGCAGCAGAATCTGTGTATGGATGTACATATGTATGTATGTATGCAGCTAACTGCGTAATTATGTGTGTGCTCTACTAGGGCGGCACAATAAAATAACAAATTCAAAGTCCACAAATTGCGCGCTTTGCTTTGTTACATTTGATATTTCGGCATTTACGAATTGCACATGCGCTACACACTTCTGACTGACAGCAGAATGAAATAAAGTTCAATTTCACGCCGTGCATTGTTGTTGTACAAAGGCTTTGTTGACTTTGTTCTAGGGTTTCATTCACGTGTAGGCGCCTTAGTCACAGTCATGGCCTGAACTTTTGTTCGTGGCTCGAGACTTGCATCTCATTAACGAGCATTGAACGCCGCCGCACAAACAACAGCAGCAACAACAACAACAACAGAAAGAATAACGATAAAGTCAATCAAGACTCGTTTGGGTCCAGCAAAGCGGTGGGTGCAAAGTCCAGAATGTGTTCAACTGGATGATGCCACAATGTTTATGAAAATACAGCAAGCCTTCTATTGAGCAAATATTCGCTTTCATGTTGCCAAAAAAACACGTTCTTAAAGATTTGCATATGTATTTATATACATATGTATATATATATGTACATATAGTTTGTATATGTAAATCATTTTGTTTTGTCTCAAAGCTATCGTTCTGATGTCCAGTTTGTTCGTTAGACTGGAGACTTCACTGTATGCACACAGAGTCGTGAGCCGGCAATGTACAGCAAAATCAAAACAAATATGCAGAAAGCGGGCCACAAACAGTAAACAATTTTTAGAACTGCGCGTCAAAAATAAACTTGAATTCCTTTCTCAATATCGCTGCTCGTCTCCCTCCCCCTGTATAATCTGGAATGATTAACCAATAGGCATATGTAAATACAAATGCATCCCTGTCCCTCCCCTTGCATTTACCGACTAGGGAGTTTGTAATGGCATGCATGTATATAAGGATGTATCTATCCCTGTCTCCCATCCATTTGCAGATTTGCCAATCTGCCAGTGGAGAACCTAACGGTGCAGCATTTGTCACCGCCTGCAGAGAAGTATTGGAGCATGATGGCCTACAACAATGCAAAGCTGTGCAATGTTTTGTTCACTCAGGAGCTGGCGCAAGTGAGTCATGGGCTATAACTGTACAATTGACTCGTGATCAATGACCTAATTTCGCACATGCTTTCTTTTGCAGAGATGGAAGCAACGGGGCATATCTGTTTTTTCTGTGCATCCTGGCAATATGGTTTCGACACAGCTGTCGCGAAATTATTGGTTTTATCGATTGCTGTTTGCCGTGGTACGGCCCTTTACCAAGTCCCTAGTGAGTAGTTGTATTTGGTCTTGGAACTTTCTGTTGTTAATCTTGACAATCCGCAGCAACAAGCGGCTGCCACGAGCATCTACTGCGCCACAGCCAACGAGCTGACAGGGTTGTCAGGATTGTACTTTAATAACTGTTATTTCTGTGAGCCAAGCAAATTGTCCAGGAACGAGGCACTGCAGAAGCAACTGTGGACACTAAGTGAACGACTCATACATGAACTAATGGACCAACCAACATAAAAATAGACTAAATTTGTCATAGTAATCTTTTTAATACTTATTTCTATATATTATAATTCTTTTTTGTTTAGTATACATTTGTTTTGGTGTTTTCTTTTATCTTAATGCTAAACAATTGTTAAAAAAAAAAACCTAACTAAGTGCTAAGGAACAATTATTTGTGTTCCACTGGGACTAGAAATCGGAGACGCGTCCTTTGCGCTCCCAATCACCATAGCGCGTTGGCTCCGGTCCAGCGGGTCCGCCAATTTCGCCTGTGTAGGGATTTGTCTGGTTGGGCCATGGCTTTAGTGGCTCCTTCTCCTGGTAGGGATGACGTGAGAATTCATCCAATTTACCCAGAGGCGTTTTAGCACGCAGTTTCTTCTGGAAGGCGATAAATTTCTCAGAGGTTGTCTTCGGCGGCTTAATCTCGACGACGCTGTCATTGCCACCAACGACGGCTCTGCAGGCGCTGCTCGTCGATAAGTAGCTCACTATTTCAAAATTAACGACAAATATTACAAATTAAATATGCTGCAATTTAAGCACACTAAAATCACACACACACACACACACACCTTGTTTGCTCATCTGCGGCATTGCGCGCAGCGTTTGTTTTGCCATCGACTGCATTTTGGTATTGTTTTTATTTTTTAAGTTCAAGTTTTGATCTGTTCTTATTTACAGTTATTCGAAGTACCGGTAACTGAGTTTAACTTTGTTGTTGTTGCGGTTGTAATTGAATATCGCACTGATGTTGACACTTGCTCGGCTTGTGAACGTTTGTGGCAACTGAACTGTGGCTCGTTGTTTTTATAGCTCCGCGAGACAACGCGTTGCCGTTTTTACTTTGTAGCTGATGCTGCTGCGGTTGCGTTGAAAGCCGCACGTTCAGATTTTACTTTTTTCTGTTGTGGTCTGTTACGTATTGTACTGGTATGCCGATATTGATAGCAGAAGAGTTATCGAAAATACGTGACGATAAACAGATTGGGCGATTGGTTATAAGCTGTGACGTCACTGCTAGCGGCCATTAGCTGAAATATTCCTAAAAAATTAAAAAATAAAATTAATTATCGAAGAAACATTGTCTCTACAATTAATGAATCAACAAAAACGCTGATTTTATTTTAACTTGAGATAAATGTTTCTATTGCTGTAGTCAAGATTTTAAAGAAATTTCGACGAAATCTTCTCAGCTGCTTATTCGCGTACATATCGCTTCCTTGACAATGTTGGTACATCGATATAATTCGACTCGATACATTTGTATTTTGCTTTGTAAGCAGTTGTCCGCATTGTATTTTAATATTTGTGTATTGTTTCACATTTATTTTAGTTTGTAATGTTGCCGAGGACACCGAAACCTGCACTTTGGAGATTCATCAAGGGTAGCGCCAAGACACTCTTTGTGCTGGAAGCAGTCTGTTTTGCTGCCAGCTACGGTCTCTACTACCGCATGAACACAGACCGAGGTAAGTGCCACATTTAGCTTTACATAAGCTTCCGCCTAAACGTTTACCTGCAGATTTCCGCCGGTACATTAACGAAAAATATCCCTACGCACTTGAGTATTACTATAAAATTGGCGAAATTGTTGGAGACAATAAGGCGCGGGAAACAGACGCAAAATATTGGAGGAGCACAGCGGAAGGATTCAAGAACGAATAAACTGTCATACCGATTACTAATACCCGATTCCCGATGGCGAGCAATCCTTATGTTAAGTCCATAGTGCTACTGCTTGGCTCAGGCGGCATAGGATATGGTCTAATGCTGCTCACTGAGCCGAGTGCCGAGAAGTTGGAGCGCATTAAAGCATCCGGATCACTGAATGCAGACCAACAAAAAAAGACACTGTTCATGCAAAAGCTAAAGGAAGCGGCAACAGATAGCACACCAATATACAGGCAAAGACCAGGTGCAGATAAAAAAGATAACTAGACTAAGTTATTTGTAATTTAATTGTTGTATAACCGAATTTTGTTATAGAAATGCACATTTTAAATAGAATATTGAATATTCGCTAAAACGAAAAATCAAATTTGTACCAAAGTATAACAGATTTCAAGTACCACAATTGGTACATATGAAGACTACTCACAAGTATGCCAAAAATATCTTTGTCTATTTGTACTCTTCGTTAGACAACATTTGTTTGTTAACGTCTCTTAAATATTACATTTTGATACCAGATATATAATTATTAAAAGATACGTATGTATACTGAAATCACTGCTGAAATATAACATATTTTGTTGCATTTGTTTTTCTCATCGCTAATACAATAACATCGTTTCTTTGCTTACAATACTAATCGATATAAGATTTCATACTCAAATTCGATATGCTAATATGCTACTTCGGCGTTTGGCATCACTATCGATATATTAATAGGTTTGAACAGCGACACTTCGCCACTCTGCTGAAATAGAAAGAAAGAGATTAATTATTATACAGGATGTCCACTGACAATATACCCTTGTTAGATGTTAACGGCCCATCTGCGATGCAGTTCGGTGCTAGTAAGGAGTTTCAACGACACACCGAACAGCAGGATTTAGATAGTGCATTTCTGGGCTATGAAAAGCGACCGTGGATGCAGGGGAAAACTAAACCGAACGTCCAAAGGGAACGTGAGGCCATATTGACCCTATTTGCCAAATCCAAACAGGATTATGTAAACGCCAATCATGTGGACAAACTTCTCGAGGATCACATTAGCTTTCGCGACTTGGCCTCACTCTCCAATGAAGACCTGGAGATGTTTGGGTTTTCTACGAAAAAGGAGCGCGAAGAGTGTCTCAAAATGTTTGCAGTGCTGCCGAATCAGGATCCCAGCTATGAATCTTTATGCCAATCGAAGGCCGCGCAAAAATATAATAATCAAATTGTTGGCAATGCGGCTAATCATCTAATGTACCTGCGCTCGTCCTTGGCAGCCACGAATTACAAATTGCAGGTACTGCCACCAGAGGATTTGATAGTGGGCGACAAACGCTATGCGAGTCGCTTTGCACTGGAGGCCTTGAACAGTGTGCAAACCATTTCGGACGAGCTAAACAAGGATCTACGTAAACTGCAGCAGCTACAGATTTCTGAAAGTCGCAAACAAATTGAGGAACAGGCGAGGGACTCACCCTCCAAGGAGGTGAGCGATTTAAAGGTGTGCAAATCTTATACAATATTAATCATATTCATATATACATTCACTATATAGCATAATCTAAAGCTTCTCTACTTTGCGGCAATTGCTTTGGGCACGGCTGGCGCCTGGTTCTGGTGGTGGTCGAAACGCAGTTACAGTCCAAACCTAGACAATATTTCAGTTAAGATCTAATACATTCCATATTTTAGATATATAGGGTCGTTTGTAGACCTTGTTATCAGAACTGCCTCGCATATAGATTACATGAGATGCATTTTGTATTTTACAGAGTATTATCTGTGCTCGAAGTTTGTAGTTTGTAAGTTTATTCCATTTGAAACGATAAACCATTCATGTTCCCAATTTTAGTTATATACAAATGCTTTCTTTAACAAGCATGCCCCATTCAAAGACTTTGGAATCTCTTAGCATATAATTACGCTATTTAGTATATATACTATTACATTTACTTACAACATATATAGAAATATAGTCTACAAAATGTGTGATCCGAGGTTGGACAGACAAACAGACTTCTGTCTTATATTCATTATTAAATAAGTATTCAAGTAATTTACAATTCGAATGATAATAAAGAAGTTGAAACCATCTTGCTTTTTAAGTAGATCCTACGTATTAAAAAATCATGCTACAATAAATTCATTATTTAATGTACAAAATAACATTTTCAGATTTACTAATATTTAGTTTACAAACTATCATACATGTACTGTTGTTCTATGGTTTAACCTCCTCGGCAAGCAGCAGAAACACCAAGTTCACATAGGCATCAACATGCTCTGGAAACTCCCACTTCGTAGTATGGGCAATTAGTTGAGCTCTACTTGTGGAGTGGGCTATATTACCTAGAACCAAGTACAAAATATGTATGAGTGGAGAGGCTTGTGGTGTCTGTGGTCTGCTCTAGTGTAGTGATAGTGCTATTGGCTGGAGTACATTTCAGAATTTAGCTCTACTTACGCATCACATGCTGTTTTACCATCGATTCCTGTCTGTAACGCTTTACCAGTTCCTCGGTGAAGGACACAAACTCTGTCAACTTCCAAGTTCTATAAAATATCACATTTGATGTAATGCCCGCTAGCAAAGTCAATCCACGCAGTTGTCGCAAAATCTCACGCGTGTTTGTAAATATATCAACAAATATCGACGTAATAATGGCCAATTTGTCGCAGCTCATATGCAGATCCTCTGGAAAATAGCCGTTATCTGCATTATCGTAGCAACGCGTCTTTCGCGCCTCAATCGCGTAGCAGAGGGACGTGCCCCGCTGTTGAGCCATTTGCCATTTGGCATAATTAGCCTGCAGGTTAGCTACCAGCCCTTGCAGCTTAGCCTTACAGCTGGCCAAGTTGGCGTCGTGCTTAATCGCCGGTGACTGCACGCGCTGGCTGTCAACAACTAAAGAACAGAGAGGAAATCAGTATATATGTGCTCTCTTTTATTGTGTTATAATTACTTACAACGCACTGGCGTTAAAGACTTATTCAATTGGTCCATTTATATTGCAAATAACTTGAGCAAACCAATTAATTTTTGAATCAAATAAAAACATGCCCAGAATTTAAAGAAAAATAATAGAAATAAACAATAAGCCAACCAGCTGACATCTATCGACTAGCCGATGAAAGAGCTACCGATTACAAAATTTGGCGAGTACATATCGCACATATTAAATATCAACTGCTGACTGACTGGTTCCGTGCCGTGTTCGTGCTAAAGACTACCCCAACAATCGATAGCTATCGGCGCCTGAAAGCTCACGCACACACTTACTCAAAGTGTCAAAAAAGTGCCGGTAATCATTTTCAGACATTTCCAAAATACATTCAGTCGAAGTAACTACGTAAAGCGCTACAACTAAATACAATTTTCTTGAAAACAAAATGTCGACCTGGACACCATTGGAATCCAACCCGGAGGTAATAAACTAACTTTACTTTACTGTTTAGAAATTGTTTTCATTTGCCATCTGCCGTTGCAACGCACTTCTGTGAATTTGATTTGCAATTTGTCATATTAAAAGAGACGCCATGTTGATTGCTCGTAACCCATTCCCAGGTACTGACCAAATACATACACAAGCTGGGTGTGTCGCCATCCTGGTCAATCACTGACGTCATCGGCCTGGATGAGGAGTTATTGGCAATGCTGCCCCAGCCCGTCAAGGCTCTCATTTTGCTGTTCCCCATCAGCGATGCAGTTAGTACGAGTTACAATTGTTGATTTACATTTACTGATGTCTAGTCTCCGTAGTATGAAAAGCACCGTGCCGAGGAGCATGAGCGCATCAAGTCGGCAGCTGAACCTCTGAAGACCCCAGCTGATCTCTTTTATATGCGTCAATTTACACACAATGCCTGCGGCACCGTTGCCCTCATCCACAGCGTGGCCAACAACAAGGAGTGGGTGCCCAATGATATCATCTCGCAAGTCTATGTAAACTACATATATGTATCTCTCTCTTAGCATTGACATTGGCGATGGCGTCCTAAAGAACTTTTTGAAGAGCTGCGCCAATATGTCGCCCGATGAGCGCGGTCAGGCTTTGGAGAAGGACAAGGCCTTCACCGAGGATCATCAAATGTTGGCGCAGGAGGGCCAAACCGATGCTGGCAACTACGACACAGTCATCCATCACTTCATTTCACTCGTCAATATCGACAACACACTCTACGAGCTAGATGGACGCAAGTCGTATCCCATCAATCACGGCAAGACCTCGGATGAGACATTCTTGCCAGATGCTGCTAGGGTGTGCAAGGAGTTCATGGCCCGTGATCCGGATGACATGCGCTTCACTGTCTTGGCTCTAACTGCTACGCAGGAATAGAGAGCGAGGGAAAGAGGGAGTCTCATCAAATATTTATATATGATCTCCGATCAAATACATGAACCATAACTAAACCTATTTTAACCCATTGTAAGGCCACGCAGTAAAACCTCTGCTGGTCATGTTTGCTGGCCATAAACAAAATTTATATATATTATATGATCTCTGATCGAATGCATAACATATTCATATTCTAACCCATTTGTGAGGCCAAGCAAGAGAAGTTCTGCTGGTTATTAAAACAAAATTTTGTCATGCATATTTAACCAAAAATGTATTTGAAATATTTGTAAAACCTTTAATTCGGCCTGGCCTGGTCATTAAACGAATAACCAAAGTTTATTCATATTACTGTTGGCAGACAACTGTCCATCACTCGTAGACTTCACTGTGGTGGTTCAATCACTAACGCTGCTCCACCACTGCATCAGCTGTTGGCCTTTAGCGATAGCCACTGCGCATGCCTCTTCCTTTGGTTACGCTCCACGTAATTGTTTGACAGTTGGCCGAAGCGAAACACCACGAGCATTGTTTTTTCTTAAATTGTAAAATACATTTAATTGGAAATTGCTTATAGTAAAAATTGTAAAGGACATTAAGAAAGGAAAACCCTCCAGTGTGCCCAGCAATAGAGCGAGACAGCCAGTGCAAGAGAGAGAGAGAGAGACTTATGTGTGGTCGATTTGATTGCTCGGCATCATGAGGCTGCTGCTCAAGGAGCTGACGCGTTTAACCACGCAGCATCGCACCTTCTATTGCTACATGTTGCTCAGCATCTGGATATTTCTGCTAATTGCAGGTAAGCTCAAGCACAAGTAGACCAGCTACTATTGATGGTATAGCGCTAGCTTTCAGGCTGCTCGCAACTAGCTTTTAGATTAGACGACAGCTAGAGATGTAAGACCCAGCTAGCCTTCTATCAGATTCCACTTGGAACATGAATGAGCTTCCTCTTCTTCCGCATTCAGCTTAAACAATTCGATTCCAATCTCTTTTTCCAGGCATGTATCGCTATATGGGCAACGTGGAACGTCTTGGCAATCCGGGCGGCGGCTTTGGCACAGGCACTGCCAGCTCGGGACTTTCTCCAGGAGCTGGTGGTAATGACGCCGCAAGCAGTGCTCAGCGTTTTGCCAAATATCGTGAACGCTGCGCGCCGCTCAGTCAGCTAACGCGCCTGGACGATGGCGGCATACTGGAGGGTTGGAAGCTACAGGGAGTGCTCCTGGTGATACGGCATGGCGACCGTGGTGCCATGTCCCACGTGCATGCCAACGGCATCAATTGTGGCGTGCCGGCCGATGGAGACAGCCTGGTCAACAAGTGAGCAGAAACATGTTATATTCCAACTGGAGGCAATTAATTCCAATTGTATCGATTTTATTCGCAGATATCGCAGCTTTCTGCAAAACTCGAGCAGCTCTGCGTCCGGCTCGAATCATTTGTACTGGAGCAAAGTGGGTCCATTCCATGGCTTTCCCTTGCTTCCCGCCACGGAGCGAGGCTGTCCGTTGGGTCAGCTGACGTACAAGTAAGTTGCTGGAGAGGATTGACGGCTACAGAAGATTACCTGTTCCATAGGTAGTGGATCGGGAAGTGAATTCATTCTTTAAATGATCCGCTTCTCATATAATTCATACTCTAAAGAAAGAGCAGGTGATCGATCCTTGGTAGACCCTGCATGGCAACCAGAACAGGGAATGACTCCTACGATTTTTACATGGATACATAGTCAATCTATCCCCTTCCCAGTATAAATACATCTATTAAAACGCCTTTCTAATCCCGCAGAGGCATTGCCCAGTTGCTGCACGTAGGCGACATCATGCATCAGATCTACGCCCATCCGCTGGGCCTGCTGCTCAAGCCGAATGCTCTGAGAGTGGGGGTGGACACGACGCCCCACACGCTGCTCAACTCGGACGAGGTGGTGGTCTTCACGACGCGCTATCGCCGCACCTTTCAGTCGGCGCTGGCCCTGCTCTTCGCCCTGCTGCCGGCGGACAAGTGGCTGGCACTGAACGTGAGGGAGTCGCATAGCATGGCGTTCTGCTTTGGAGACTGCTCGTGCGGCCAGTCGCTGGTGCTGCGCAAGCGGCTGATGCAGCTGGCGGACAGGCAGCTGGTGAAGCGCTCCGATGTGCTGGCCGTGATGCAGTGGATCGGCGGGACGCTGATACAGCACACAGCTAACGAGGGGGGCGTGACGAATCCCTTCGAGGTGGTGGATGCCATGCTGACTGTGCTCTGCCATGACGCCGCCTTGCCGTGTCGAAGGCGCAATGGCAGCCGGACTGCCAGCACCCTAGCCCACAATCCCGAGCTAGTCGACGTCATCAACATCGACCAGGACGAGGCGAATGGGGCGAATCTTATGCCAGGAGGAGCAGCGGCAGCAGCGGAGCTGGAACAGCAGCAGCAGCTGGAGGAGGAGGACGAGGCAGCTGGCTCCAATGGCGGCTGCGTGGAGCCCTCCCAAGTGGATGCACTTATGTCCTTCGCCGACGAGCTCTCTCTGCGCACTGCCCAGCACATCTACTACAAGCGAGCGGGCCTGCTCCGGGCATACGGCATGATCCGGCATATAGTTGGCTATATGCTAAAGATGATATCGGGGGATCGGACCAAGTTCGTGCTCTACTCTGGCCACGACTGCACCATGCAGTATCTGACGGCTGCCCTGGGCATAATTAGCAATCGTGACGGAAAGACGATCTCGTACGCCTCACGCTTGGCCTTCGAGGTCTATCGCTCCGATGCCCATACGGATTACTATTTCCGTGTCGTCTACAATGGGCGCGATGTGACGCAGCAGATCGATTTCTGCGAAGGTGGAAAAAGTCTGCGCGTGACTCGGGACAGTCGCGGCAACAAGGCCGATCTGTGTCCCATCGAGAACATCATTCGATTCCTGCACGAGGACTATTTCGGGCCATTGAATGCGACCAATTTCAAGGAGGCCTGCGCAGCGCCTGTCGCACAGTCACCCAAAGCGAACGAGTTCTAGTGGCACTGGGTTCCATTCTCAGCTGTGATAAGTATTATGTTATATATATATATATAGTTAAGACGAAATCCAACAAATGACGAAACTTTGTGAACACATACCAGAACGGTCCCCATACAACAACAGCAACGAAATCTATGCTACAGATTGCAATACCAACACGACTTCGTATTCGTATTGGCTCTCGGCGAGTAATGGAGCCTGAGAGTCTTGTGTGCGATTGAGGGAGATAGCAGCTATCACTTACACAACTATATTTTTACTTTCAATTGCTTACGCACATGATTGTATGCATGTGTGTGTCCTACGCCTAGTGCGCTCGAAGGAGATGGCAGCTCCCATTTGCTCATGCCGTCTCACTACACAACTGTGTTTACGCTCACTTTTAAGTCTTGATCAAAGCCAAGTGCGCTCGAGGGAGACAGCAACTTTCTCTTACACAAATCTGCTCTAACTTATTTTCAAATGCTTCATGCATGTGTATGTGCCTAAAGCCTAATACGATCGAAGGAGATAGCAACTCCCACTCACTTTGAAGCTCTGTTCTTGTTTATTTGCAATCGCTTTCTCAAATGTATTTCTGTATGTGTGTATGCATGTAACTTTTGTTTACATTTCTGATCATTGCTTATCCATTGAGTGAAGAGTTGGAGAAGCACTCTCAATTTTGTTGGCAGGATAACTATGCGTTGTTGTATGGCAAGTGACTGAATGAAACCAAACATATCAATTGAATCGCA